TTGCGACACCGAAGTCTTATCACCAAGCTCAGAGAGCACCAAGGACCCCCACAGTCTTCCTCCTCCTGTTTTTTCTTCTTTTCTTCCTCTTCCTCCTTCCTCTTCCTCCTGTTCTTCTTCCTATTCTTCCTCCTCTTCCTCCTTTTCGTCCTCTCCTCCTCCTCCTCTTTCTCCCTTTTCTTCCTCCTCGTCCTCTTCCTCCTCTTCCTCCTTTTCTTCCTCCTCCTCTTCCTCTTCCTTCTCTCCTCCTCTCCCTCCTCCTCTTTCTCCTTCTCTTCCTCCTCTTCCTCCTTTCTGTCCTCTCCCTCTTCCTCCTCTTTCTCCTTTTCTTCCTCTCCTCCTCCTCTTCCTCCTCCGCCTTCCTCCTCCTCCTCTTCTCCTTTTCATCCTCTTCCTCCTCTTCCTCCTCTTTTCCTTTTCTTCTCTTCTCTCTTCTTTCTCCTTCTCTTTCTCCTTTTCCTCCTCTACCTCCTTTTCTTCCTCTTCCTCTTCCTCCTCTTTCTCCTTTTCATCCTCTTCCTCCTCTTCTTCCTTTTCTTCCTCCTCTTCCTCCTCTTCCTCCTCTTTCTCCTCCTCTTCCTCCTTCTTCTCTTCCTCCTCTTCTTCCTTTTCTTCCTCTTCCTCTTCCTCCTCTTTCTCCATTTCGTCCTCTTCTTCCTCCTCCTCCTCTTCCTCCTTTTCTTTCTCCTCCTCTTCCTCCTCTTCTTCCTTTTCTTCCTCCTCTCTTCCTCTTCCTTCTCTTCCTCCTCTTTCTCCTTCTCTTCCCCTCTTCCTCCTCTTCCTCCTCCTCCTCTTTCTCTTCCTCCTCCTCCTCCTCCTCCTCTTCACAAACCCCCCTCCTTTCTAGCACCGATGAGGTTCTCTAGTTGGCCCATGAAACATCTGCAAGAAAACCACCAAGCCCATAGGGCACCAAGGACCCCACAGTCCTCCTCCTTCTCCTCTCTACCCTGTTTCCCCCCAAAATAAGACATTATCCCCTGATAATAATGGGGCTTTTGAGCGCATGGCAATAAGGCCAAGCGCTTATTTCAGGGTTCAAAAAAAATATAAGACAGGGTCTTATTTTCGGGGAAACACGGTACTTCCTTCTAGCACTGATGACGTTACCTAGTTGGGCCATGAAAGGTCTCCAAGAAAACAAGCTCAGAGAGCCCCAAGGACCCCCACAGTTCAGCCTAGATCTCCAAATCTTCCATTTTGCAGGTAGCTCTCCACTTAACAACCGTTCGCTTAGTGACCGTCCTGAAAAAAGTCACTTACGACCCTTTTTTTTTAAACTGAAGACCGTTGCAGCCTCCCCTTGGCCATGCCACCAAAATTCAGACGCTGGGCAACTGGCTCACTTAACTGTCTCGCTGAGCCACAGAAATTCTGGGCTCCGTTGCGGTCGTAAGTCGAGGACTGCCCGCCTTGGTCGCGTGACTTTTCTTTGCGTGGCTGTCTCTTCCTTCACAGGTGACCTACTGCAGCTCCGAGTGCCGTCAGGCCGCCTGGAATCAATACCATCAGGTTCTCTGCCTGGGACCCTCCAGACAGGACCCCGATCATCCGCTCAACAAACTGCAGGAAGCTTGGAGGCAAGATATTTTTTTTTTTGTGGGTGGGTGGGTGGGTTCGTAGTTCAAGAGGAGCAGCGGCACAATTCTTTCAAAATGATTTTCGTGGCAAATAGGATGGGATGGAAGAGGCGAGAATAGAAAATAGAATAAAAGAGAAGAGAGTCAGAAACGAATAGAAAATATGGAATGGAATGCAATACAATACAATACAATGGAAAATATGGAGTAGAAAAGAGTCAGAAACTAATAGAAAATATGGAATGGAATGGAATACAATTAGAATGGAATGGAATGGAATAGAATAGAATTAGAATGAATAGAATAGAATAGAATAGAATAGAATAGAATAGAATAGAATAGAATAGAAAGAAAAAAGAAAAGAAAAGAAAAGAAAAAAGAAAATATAGAATAGAATAGAACAGAACAGAAAATATGGAATAGGATAGGATAGGATAGGATAGGATAGGATAGGATAGGATAAAAAATATGGAATGGAATGGAATGGAATTAATAGAACAGAACAGAACAGAACAGAATAGAATAGAGTCAGAAACGAATAGAAAATATGGAATGGAATCGAATTAATAGAATAGAATAGAATAGAATAGAATAGAATAGAATAGAATAGAATAGAATAGAGTCAGGAACGAATAGAAAATATGGAATGGAATGGAATTAATAGAATAGAATAGAATAGAATAGAATAGAATAGAATAGAATAGAACAGAACAGAACAGAACAGAACAGAACAGAACAGAACAGAGTCAGGAACGAATAGAAAATATGGAATGGAATACAATTAAAATAGAACAGAACAGAGCAGAACAGAAAATATGGAATGGGATAGGATAGGATAGGATAGAAAATATGGAATGGAATTGAATTGAATAGAATAATAAAATATAGAAAAGAGAACAGAGAACAGAGAAGAGAATATAGAAAATAGTATAAAATACAGTAGAGAATAGAATGGAATAGAACAGAATAGAATAGAAACAGCATGGCATGGCATGGCATAGAAGAGAAGAGAATAAAATACAGAATATTATAGAATAAAGAAGAGAATGGAATGGAATGGAGCAGAACAGAATTCTTTCTTAGCCAAGTGTGATTGGACACACAAGGAATTGGCCTCCATTGCAGAAGCGTACATACATAATCATAAAATACAATATATATATTATCCGGGCGTCTTGCAAGGGGTTGGCTGGTCACCATTCTGCATTGCCTCTTGCAGAGCCAGTCTGTGGGGCATCCCTTTCTCTCTCTCTCTCTCTCTCTCTCTCTCTCCAAGGGATTGGCTTAAAATGTCCACTTTGTCTGTGGAATTTTCTGGAATTTCCTTTTTCCACCCCACCCCACCCTCTTCTGTCTAGGAACATCCACTATCCCCCGGAGACTTCGAGCATTATGTTGATGGCCAGGATGGTGGCAACCGTCAAGCAGGTACATATGGGCCGTGGCCACCAGCAAGGAGGGTTGGTTCCATATGCTAAGAATCCTGGGAATACAGCTAGTCCTCAGCTTAACGACCGCAATTGAGGCCAAAATTCCTGTCGCTAAGTGAGGCGGTTGTTAAGTCCATTTCACCCCGCTTTACCACCTTTCTGGCCACCGTTGTTAAGTGAATCACTTGCAGTTGTTAAGTTAGTCACGCAGTTGTTAAGCGAATCTGGCCTCCCTGTCGACTTTCGCTGGTCAAACAGTCACAAAAAAGGGATCGCATGACCTCAGGACTCTGCGACAGTCATAAATAGGAGTCAGTTGAGCCTGCAGGGGGGAGCCTGCCTGTCACGGTCATAACTTGTGACGGTTCTAAATCGGATCGCCCATTTTATGAGCTTTTTTATTTTTTGCAGCAGTTGTTAAAGCGAACGCCCCAGTTGTAAAATGAATGCTGCGGTCGTTAAGTGAGCTCATTTTCTTGCAGGCGAAAGACAAAGAGCGGTGGATCAAGCTTTTTTCTCAGTTCTGCAATAAAACCGCCAACGAGGAAGAAGAGATCATTCACAAGTTGCTGGGAGACAAATTTAAGGTCGGGACAACGATGGAATCAGAGAGTTTATTCAAAAGATGGAACCTAGATGGCCACGGTGTGCTATCTCGACCTTCCTCTTCCTCCTCCTCCTTCTACTCCTCCTTCTCCTCCTTCCTTCTCCTCCTCCTCCTCTTTTTCTCCTCCTCCTCTTTTTTCTTCTCCTATCTTCTCCCTTCTCCCTTCTTCTTTTTTTCTTCCTCCTTCTCCTTCTCCTTCTCCGCCTTCCTCTTCTTCTTCCTTCTCCTCCTCCTCCTCCTCTTTTTCTCCTCCTCCTCTTCTTTTTTCTTCTCCTATCTCCTCCCTTCTCCCTTCTTCTTTTTTCTTCCTCCTCCTCCTTCTCCTCCGCCTTCCTCTTCTTCCTTCTCCTTCTCCTCCTCTTTCTCTCCTTCTCTTCTTTTTTCTTCTATCTTCTCCCTTTTTTCCTTCCTCCTCCTCCTTCTTCTCCTCCTCTTCCTTCCTCTTCTTCTTCCTTCTCCTCCTCCTCTTCTTTCTTCTTCTCCTATCTCCTCCCTTCTCCCTTCTTCTTTTTTCCTTCCTCCTCCTCCTCCTCCTCCTCCTTCCTTCCTTCTGCTCCTCCTCCACTTTCTCTCCTTCTCTTCTTCTTTCTTCTTCTCCTATCTCTTCCTCCCTTCTGCTTTTTTCCTTCCTCCTCCTCCTTCCTTTTCTTTTTCTTTTTTTCTCCTCCTTCCTCTTCTTCTTCCTTCTGCTCCTCCTCCTCTTTCTCTCCTCCTCTTTCTTCTATTTCTTCTCCTATTCTCCCTTCTCCCTTCTTCTTTTTTCCTTCCTCCTCTTCTTTCTCCTGTTCCTCTTTTTCCTCGACTTTCTCTCCTTCTCCTATTCTTTCTCCTCCCTTCTCCCTTCTGCTTTTCTCCTTCCTTCTCCTCTTCTTCTTTCTCCTGTTCCTCTTTTTCCTCTTCTTACTCCTCCTCCTCTTCCTCTTCCTCTCACACCCCCACTCCCTTCTCTTTTGCGTGCCCTACGTAGGCCATGGGGGTCTCCTACCGGAGCCATTTTGTGAGTGTGCCCACAACAGGCTTTCCAAATTTTGCCGCCGAAGGCATGCTTGGAAATAGATCCGGAGCCTCTGGGTTTGTGCTGACAGTGCTCACTTCATCCTGAAGAAAAGACACGGCTGCTTTAAAAAGTTTCGGTTAGGGAATGATGTGGCTGCTTTAAAGAGTTGGAAAAAAATGCTCTGTTCCAATTTCAAAGCATCTTTGTGGTTGCAGGCATGCAGCCGTCCCGGGATACCTCTTGCTCTTTCTCGCTTTCCATCTGAACCAGGGGTGGGTTCTAAATTTTTTTACTACCGGTTCTGTGGGCGTGGCTTATTTTGTGGGCGTGGCTTGGTGGGGGGTAATGTGCAACCTTAAGAGGTTGCAGAAAAAAATGCTTTTAGAAGCCTCTGATGATCCCAGCTGAGCCGTGCGATCATCAGACGCTTTTTTTTTTCTTACTTTTAAAAGCATTTTTTCTACAACCTTAAGAGGTTGCAGAAAAAAATACTTTTAAAAGCCTCTGACGATCAGGCAACTCAGCTGGGATCGCCAGAGGCTTTTAAAGGCAATTTTTTTCCTACAACCTCTTCGGCTGAAGAGGTTGCAGAAAAAAATGCTTTTAGAAGCCTTTGATGATCCCAGCTGAGCCACGTGATCATCAGACGCTTTTTTTTTTTACTTTTAAAAGCATTTTTTCTACAACCTTAAGAGGTTGCAGAAAAAAATGCTTTTAAAAACCTCTGACGATCCCAGCTGAGCCACGGGATCATCAGAGGCTTTTTTTTTTAACTTTTAAGAGCTTTTTTTCTACAACCTTAAGAGGTTGCAGAAAAAAATGCTTTGAAAAGCCTCTGCCGATCAGGCAACTCAGCTGGGATTGTCAGAGGGTTTTCAAAGCATTTTTTTTTAACCACCTCTTTGTCCGAAGAGGTTGTAGAAAAAATGCTTTTAAAAGTTAAAAAAAAAAAGCCTCTGATGAGGTAGGCGGGGTAAGCGAGCGGCGACCGGGCCGGGGACCAGTTCGGGGGCGTGGCCAGCCAATGTTATTACTGGTTCTCCGAACTACTACAAATTTTTATTACCGGTTCTTGCGAACCGGTGCGAACCGGGAGCAATCCACCACTGATCTGAACCCATAATGCCAAAAAAAGCGTATCTGGGTTAGTTTCACCAACCAGGTTTCGTGTGGTGCAGACTCAAGTCGGTAAGACCGCGTTTTCTTCTTCTCCTTCTCCCTGCAGGGCCAGCTCGAAGTCCTGCGGATGCTTTTCACGGAGGCCCTTTACGATGACCATCTCAGCAAGGTAAGCCTCACACCTGTCCGGCTTGGTTGGGGGGGGGGGGTAATGTGACTGGGTGGGCATGGCCAATTTTTTTTTTTTTACTTTTAAAACCATTTTTTCTACAACCTCTTCGACCAAGAGGTTGTTTAAAAAATGCTTTCAAAAGGCTCTGACGATCCCAGCTGAGTTGCCTGATCGACAGAGGCTTTTTTTTTCTTTTAAATGCCTCTGACGATCAGGCAACTCAGAAAAAAAAGCTTCTGATGATCGCGTGGCTCAGCTGGGCATGGTGGGGGCGGGGGGCAGGGATTTTTGCTACCGGTTCTCCAAACCACCCGCTGATCTGTCCCCGTCCACACACACACACAAACACAGCCAGCCGAGGGTTAAGGAAGCACTTGGAACACACCCAGGTCTTTATCTCCAACTTGGCAGCGATAAACACACTGTCTGCCAAGTGCTTTTATTTCTACAGAAAACAGAAAGATAATATACTCAGCGTACAAGAGTCCAACAGAAAATAATATTCCTCTCAGCAGTTTCGGACGAGGCTTTAGTGACTATCCAAGGTTTACTTTTGTTCGTCACAGGGATCGCTGGCCACCACCCTCTATTATATAGTCTCTGGGGTGTGGTCCAGTGACTCAGTTCTAATCCCTAGCACGCCTCCTGAGCTGCTGCAATCGTTTATCACGCCTTCGGAGGCGTGCGTCCAGGAATGACGTCTCTCCTTCACTCTCATCCGAGACACCTGTCTCCCGGCTAATCTCTCCCTCGGCCGGCTCCTGAGACAATGCCAGAGGGGAGGGGCCTGGAGAGGGAGGCCTGGCTGACTCCTCTTCCTCATGCTCGGAGCTTTCTTCCTCCGATGGGACAGGCTCAGAGGGCGGGGCCACAACACCCGCCTCTATTGCTACCGGATCGGGCGATCCGGTCTGAACCGGGAGCATTTCACCCCTGCCCCAATGTGTCCAATTCTCTTTTTATCCCTTACAGTGGTTTTCTCCTGAAGGCTTCCGGTCTTTGTTCGCCCTGGTTGGGACCAACGGACAAGGCATAGGGACGAGGTAAGTCAAGTATATAAATTTAATAGCTACAGGCAGTCCTCGACCTACGACCGTTCATTTAGTGACCGTTCGAAGTTACGACGGCAGTGAAAAAAGTGACTTAATGGCCGTTTTTCACACTTACAACCGTTGCAGCATCCTCAGTGGTCCCATGATCAAAATTTGGACACATGGCAACCGACTCATACTTAACGACGGTTGCAGTGTTCCGTGGTCACGTAATCCCTTCGGCGACCTTCTGACGAGCATGGGGAAGCCTGATTCGCTTAATAACCGTGTCGGTCACTCAACACCTGCAGCGATTCGCTTAACGGCTGTGGCAAGAAAGGTCGTCAAGTCGGGCAACACTCACGTAGCAAATGTCTCGCTTAGCCACATAAATTTGGGGCTCCGTTGTAGTCGTACGTCGAGGACTACCTATTCTGTATTCTTTATAGTAGTTGTTGCAGTCCTTAATGTCAACTTGCAAAGCTTTCAAGTTGCCATGAGCAGGAGGGAGGAGAACTGAAGTGCATTCCATACATTCTTCCTGACCGCAATCAGAAGGAGGGTGTTAGGTTTCACAGCCAGCCAAAGTGGTTAATTGGAGAATGTGATTTATGACATGGCCAGAGAGGAGGGGAGAGACAGGGTCATAGGGGAACGTAAATCTACGTGGGATCAGTCCTAACTGCATCCAAGTATTGCCGGAATGTTGCCCCTAATAAATGACTATATTTCCTTTGAAGTTTGGATCATGGCTCATGAATTAATTAGGGCATCTTTCGGAAACTTGACACTTAACATTGTGTGTTGTAGATTGTGTGTGTGGGGTTTTCTGGGGCTTTGTGTCTGCTTAGGATGTTTCGAAGAGCTTCAGTTGGTTTGTGTGCTACACCGATGGCCTGTGGCTTGTGGTTGTGATTGTGGTATCTGTTGGTGTTAATTATTAATTCAGAATGTGAGATTTTTTTAAAAAAAAAACAGCAAACCTCATAAAAAGTGAAAGAGACCATGAACAAGTAAAAAGCAGATTTATTATAAATATATATATAAAGCAATATATATGTATTAAGCTTTTGCAAAAGAGTTCTCCCGTGAAAGAGAGAGAACGTCTGATCACTTCGATTACATGCTTTAAATACAGTTTTAGATACTCAGCAACACAATTCAAACGCCTCCGCCAGATGTTGTTATATATAACATTTTGGCTTTCTCATATGTTCTACCCTGCAGTTTTCCTCCAAAAATACCCTCTAAAAATACCCTCTAAAATGTATTCTTAATTGTTTGTTATTGTTCTTATTAATTGGACACTTTTAATTCTAATTTAATTTAATTTAATTTAAATTAATTAATTTAATTTAATTTTAATTCTCCTTTTTTCAATGGAGCTTGGGTCAGCCTGACCCAACTTAGAATGGACCAAAACATCCGTTTCCTCAAAACAGGCGTCACAGTTCCCGTATCCTACACGGAATAATGTGATTCACTCATGTCCTATTCAGATTAATGTCGGAGGACCGAACACAGGTTATATAAAGGTCCTACACCATTCACCTGAGTTGGATGTACATACCCTCAAATGAAAGCTGACAGTCTGCAGTTAAAGCACATTGTGTTTGTTTCATTCCAACTCCATTGTGGTGGTGTATAGAGCCAAAGATGTTAGAATTGCGTCGATGTCCCAATATTTCTGGACCTGACTGTATAAATCAGGTTATATAATATGGAGTTACTTGGGTTATGATTTTTACAGGAATAATTCATTTGTCTCTGAAGGATTAAGAGGATTAAGGATTAATTAGAATTAAGGAATTCTAAGAATTAAGAAGAATTAAGGATTAATTTTTCTTCAGATTGCGGGGCTGGCGGAGAGAATAGTTGTAGCCCCAAAGAAATTGAGGGCAGGTTGAGACTCGTAATCCCACTTGTGGTGGGCTTTGCTTCTCTCCTCCCGCCCCCCCCGCCCCCCCCAGTTCTCTGAGCCAGTGGGTCCGTGCCTGCGACGCTCTCGAGCTCCCCACTCAAGAACGGGAACAGTTGGACGCTTTCATCGATCAGCTGTACAAGGACATCGAGAAAGGTGGGTCAGATGTGGGAGATGTCCAGCCCCATGAAGATCCTTGCCTTGCCCTGGGGGGGGGGCAGGGGGCGGGTTAGGGACAGTGGGAAGGCTTGATGGGTCTTTGGGGGCAGGGGGCTTCCACTATGGGAAATTGGGGAGAAACTGCCAGACGGTGGGGTGGGAAGATGAGGTAGGATACCCAACTCATGACAGTCTGGAAGGGCTAGTGAAGACCATGTGGGTCAGAGGTTGAAGGACTGATTAGAAGATCTCAGAGAGAGGTCTGAACTTTCCTTCCATCCCTCCCTCTGTCCCTCCCATCTCTCTCTCTCTCCTTCCTACCTTCCCTTCCTCCATCCCTCCATCCTTCCCATCTATTCCTTCCTTCCTCCCGACTTCCTTCCTTCCATTTCTCCATCCATCCATTCTTCTCATCTAACTCCTCCCTTCTTCCTCCCTCCTTCCTTCCTTCCATCCATCCCTCCCTCTTTTTCTCCTAACCTCCATCCCTCCCATCTACTCGTTCTTCCTTCTCCCTTCCTCCCTCCCTCCCGTTCCTCCATCTCTCCATCCTTCCCATCCCTTCCTTCCTCCCTACCTTTCCTTCCATTTCTCCATCCATCCATTCTTCTCATCTAACTCCTCCCTCCTTCCTCCCTCCCTCCTTCCTTCCATCCATCCCTCTCTTTTTCTCCTACCCTCCATCCGTCCCATCTACTCGTTCTTCCTTCTCCCTTCCTCCCTCCCTCCCGTTCCTCCATCTCTCCATCCTTCCCATCCCTTCCTTCCTCCCTACCTTTCCTTCCATTTCTCCATCCATCCATTCTTCTCATCTAACTCCTCCCTCCTTCCTTCCTCCATCCATCCATCCCTCTTTTTCTCCTAACCTCCATCCCTCCCATCTATCTCTTGTTCTTCCTTCTCCTTCCTTCCTTCCTTCCTTCCCTTTCTTTCTTCCTCTCTCCCTCCTCCTGTTCCTCCATCTCTCCATCCTTCCCATCTATTCCTTCCATTTCTCCATCCATCCATTCTTCTCATCTAACTCCTCCCTTCTTCCTTCCTTCCTTCCTTCTTTCCTTCCTTCCTTCCTTCCTTCCCTCCCTCTCTTTTTCTCCTATCTTCCATCCCTCCCATCTATCTCCTCTTGTTCTCCTTCCTTCCTTCCTTTCTTCTTTCCCTCTCTTTTTGTCCTTCCCTCCATGACTGTGGAGAGACGTGGGGGGCAAGCTGTCCGAACTTTGGAACTGGGCTTTTAAGTTCTCTTGGGGGGAATCTGTCATGACTTGGAATGGACGCTATGTGACCGGTCATAGATCAAGGACTCTCTATAAATTCTCGATCTCCTCTCCAGGGTCTCTCGGTCCCAGGGTGGGTTTTTTGAGCCTCGCGATTCCCACACACCTTTTGACCCCCATTCAGCCTCACAATTGCGTCCGCCTTCTCTTACCGTCACTCTCTGTCTCTTTGCCTTTAGAGACAGGGGACTTCCTGAACTGCGAAGGCTCCGGCCTCTACGTGCTCCAGAGTTGCTGTGAGTACCGAGAAGCGAATCTCTTGGCCCCGGGGTCTCCGCTTTGCTCCCCCCTTCCCCCCCCCGGCCCGGAACCAGTTCCCTGATCCGGACGACGATGGCTTTCTCTGCTCCTTCTTGCAGGCAACCACAGCTGTCTTCCCAACGCCGAGGCCTCCTTCCCGGATAACAATTTTGTCCTGCATTTGACGGCAGTGGATGATATCCACCAGGGAGAGGTGAGAGATGCCGACAGAGCAGGGGAAGAATTCCCTGTTGGCCGCTCGTTCCCTTCCCTTCCCTCCCCGTTTTCTCCGGCTGTCTTGCCTGTTGCAAATGAGCATAATTTTCCTGCTATGGGGACTTTGCCTTCAGTCTGGGCAATTGTGTGTTTTTGTCCACGCAGGAGATCTGCATCAGCTACCTAGACTGTTGCCAGAGAGAACGGAGCCGACACAGCCGGTGCAAAATCCTACAGTGAGTAGTGAGGGTCTGTCTGTCGGTCGGTCTCTATCTCTATCATTTATCTATCTGCCTATGTCTGTCTGTCTCTCTCCCCCCCCACTCTCTCTGCCTATCTACCGGTATCATGTACCTATCTCCCTCCTTCCCTCCCTCCCTCCCTATCCATCCATCCATCCATCATCTATCTACCTAACTTCTGTCTATCTATCTACTATCTATCTATCCACCTACCTACCTACCTACCTACCTACCTACCTATCTATCTATCTATCTATCTATCTATCTATCTATCTATCTATCTATCCACCTACCTACCTACCTATCTATCTATCTATCTATCTACCTACCTACCTACCTACCTATCTATATCATCTATCTATCTATCTATCTATCTATCTATCTATCTATCTATCTATCTATCTATCTATCATCTATCTATCTATCTATCTATCTTCTATCTCTCTATATCTTTCTATCTATATCATCTATCTATCTATCTATCTATCTATCTATCTATCCACCTACCTACCTACCTATCTATCTATCTATCTATCTATCTATCTATCTATCTATCTATCTACCTACCTACCTATCTTCTATCTATATCATCTACCTACCTACCTACCTATCTTCTATCTATCTTCTATCTCTCTATCTCTTTCTATCTATATCATCTATCTATCTATCTACCTACCTACCTACCTACCTACCTACCTACCTACCTACCTATCTACCTACCTACCTATCTTCTATCTATATCATCTACCTACCTACCTATCTTATATCTATCTTCTATCTATCTATATCTTTCTATCTATATCATCTATCTTCTATCTACCTACCTACCTACCTATCTTCTATCTATATCATCTACCTACCTACCTACCTTCTATCTTCTATCTATCTATATCTTTCTATCTATATCATCTATCTATCTATCATCTATCTATCTATCTATCTATCTATCTATCTATCTATCTATCTATCTATCTATCTATATCTTTCTATCTGTATCATCTATCTATCTTCTATCTATCTGCTTGTCCATCCCTCCATCTGTCCCACCTACACACACACACACATCCCTCATAATACTTCCTCCTCTTATTTCCCCCACAACAACAATCCTGTGAGGTGGGTTGGGGTGAAATAGTGACTAGCTTTCCGTAGGGGCTTGTCGAGCGTGGAAATCAGGAATCCCAGGCAGTTCAAACAGGGATAAAGATTTATTGGAAGCTTTTGCTCCCTACAAGCATCTGAACGACTAATGGTCCAAAGCCAATTGGCGGCAGTTGAGTGGCAGCAGAATTCAAGGTGGCTTGGACTGAGATCTCTTGTGGGACTCGAGGCTGATGACGCCTTTGACCCCTCCCTCCGGCTCAGCCTGGCCCTCTCTACAGGGTTAGTGTTCTACAGGCTATCCTCAACATACAACCAGAAGGGGAGCCAGCGCATCACGGGTAGTCCTCGACTTACAACCACAATTCAGCCCGACATTTCTTGTTAAGTGAGACCTTTGTTAAGTGAGTTTTGCTCCATTTTACGCCCTTCCTTGCCACCGTTGTTAAGTGAATCGCTGCAGTCATTAAATTAGTCACACAGTCGTTAAGTGAATCTGGCTTCTCCCTTGACTTCACTTGTCAAACAGTCGCCAAAGGGGATCATGTGACCTCGGGACACCGCTTAATTTTAATTCGAATTTGTTTTTAAAAATAGGGGTGTTTTTAATTAGTATGGGCCAAATTTATTTAATATGTTTTTTAAATTGTTTTTTTTTTTTAATTTTATATTGTATCTGTTTTATCTATGGCTGTTCACCGCCCTGAGTCCTTCGGGAGTAGGGTGGTATATAAATCTAAATAAACGAAACTAAACTAAACTAAACTGCAACTGTCATAAATATGAATAGGTTGCCCAGCATCTGAATTTTGATCCGTTGACCCTGGAGATGCTACAGCGGTCGTAAGGGTGAATAACGGCCCTAGGTTACTTTTTTTCAGTGCTGTTGTAACTTCGGTCGCTAAATGAACCGCTGTAAATCGAGGACTACCTGTACAGTTCCTGTGTCCCAAATAAGTTGGTATTTTTTTTTTTTTTAATTTTGATTTATATGCCGCCCTTCTCCGAAGGCTCAGGGCGGCTTACAATGTGCTCAGCAATAGCCTTCATCCTTTTGTATATTTATACAAAGTCAGCTTATTGCCCCCACAAACTGGGTCCTCATTTAACCTACCTTAGAAAGGATGGAAGGCTGAGTCAACCTTGATTTTTAATATCTCGGCGGTGGGAACGTTGCCAGCGAAGTGACCAGTCGTAAGTCGAGGCCTACCGTCAGTTCCCAGCAAATCTTCAATCTCGTGAAAGTTCTCCCATCTCTCTCTCTCTCTCCTCCCCCCGTTTCCCAAAAATCCCCAGGGAAAACTACTTATTCATCTGCTCCTGCCCCAAGTGCCTGGCTCAAGCCGAAGATCCTGACGTAACCTCGGAGGAGGAAGAGGAGGAAGAAGCCGAAGGGGAGGCAGACGGAGCCGAGCTGGAAGACGAGATGACCGACGTTTGATCTGGGCTCCGGGATGGGGAGGGGTGAAGGGGGGGACACACCTCTAGAGCCCTGGGCTGTGGTGGGAACAGCATCCTGGTCAGATGGTGGCTTAGGAGGACGTGGGTTGTGGGGGATATATGGTGGCCAGGGAGGGACCCAAAGCAACCTCTGTATTCATTCTCATGACACGGTGCCCAGCAAGGAATGAATGGGCATGGGTGCCCTCTGCCCCCCCCCAACCTGGTGGGCAACAAACCAGTATTCACCTTCTGGCGCCCTAACCAAGTTTGCATCTAGCCGGTGAGACAGTATTTGCCTTAAGGACGTGAGAATCCAATCCCAGCTCCGATCCGCAGCTCTTGGCCCTTCCCAGGGAAGAGAAGCAGGAAGAGAAACCTGGTTTTGTGTCCAGCTGGTCCTCGACTTATGACAACCATTGACCACCATTTTGTGTCCAGCTGGTCTTCGACTTACGACCACCATTGACCCCCCCTTAATTTCTGTCGTTCAGCGAGACATTTGCCAAGTAGAGTTCGGGCCCGTTTGGGTGCCCCTTCTTGCCTTGCTCCGTCGTTAAGTGAATCACTGCCCATTGATAAGTCAGTCTCCCAGGGGTTGTTAAGCGAATCCGGCTTCCCCCTTGTCAGAAGGTCACAAAACGGGACCACAATGGGACGTAGCAATAGGTCATAACTGCAAAACACGGTCTTAAGTCAATTTTCAGGGCCACGGTCACTTCAGTCACTAAACGAAGTGGTCGTAAATCGAAGATGACCTATATCTCTCCTCTCTCTGCTCCACCGGTGGTCTCCAGCTATGCAAAACCACCTCGGCCTGAAAATATCGGGGGTGCATTTCAAGATGACAGCTGGGCTGGGTGTTTTGGGGGAGACCCACAGGCCTGGCCCCAAAATCCCACAGGGTACACACGCCCCACTCCCCCAAGCAGGTTGAGTTGACTCCAGGCATTGGTTCTAGACCAACAACCTCCAAAATCCAGAATCCGAACCCAGTACCTGAGTTTGCTTAGCCTGCTGTGACGTGTTCGACGTCCCTCCATTTCCCGATAGTCCATTTCAGACGTCTGACCGTCATAAATCCTTGTTTTAGTCTTGTCTGCTGTCCTGACCTGGGATTGAGAGAATGATGGTTTGCTGTTGGAAGGCCCTTTTCGTCCGTTCACGCTCCTTCCAACGAATTTTGTAATTCTATGCAAATCTCTCCGCCTCCTTCAATACACAAAAGATTTGCTTCAGTGTGGCTTGGTTTCCTTTTGCGTCTCCCGACTGGATGTTATGAGTAATGCTTACAGGTATTAATGCTTATTGGAAGTCCTCAACCTCTGACCGTAATTGAGCCTAACGTTTCCGCCGCTAAGCGAGACGGTTGTTAAAGTTGAGTTTTTCCCTGTTTTACGAACTTTCATGACACACTTGTTAAGGGGCAGCGGTCGTAAGGTTGAGAACAGGTCACAAGTCCCTTTTTTTTATGCTTTTGCAACTTCGAATGGTCACTAAACAAATGATTATAAGACTTCCTATGCAGGTAGTCCTCGATTTATGACAATTGAGCCCCAAATTTGTTGCTAAGCGAGACAGTTGTTAAGTGAGTTTTTGAGTTTTGCCCCATTTTACGAACTTTCATGACATACTTGTTAAGGGGCAACGGTCATAAGAGTGAGAACTGGTCATTAAGTCCCCTTTTTTTGGTGCCGTTGTAACTTCCAATGGTTACTAAACAAATGCTCATAAATTGAGGACGTCTGATACAGGTAGTCTTTGATTTACGACAATTGAGCCCAAAATTTCTCCTGCTAAGTGAGACAATTAAGTGAGTTTTGCCTCATTCTACGACTTTTCCTGCCATAGTTGTTAAGTGAATCACGGCAGTTCTTAATTTAAGAACAAGGTTGTTAAGTGAGTTGGGCTTCTACTTTGAAGTGGATCATAGGACCTCTGTTCCTCTTGGTCGTCCGAGGCGCCTCTCTTTCTTCCCCGTCCCTGCAGGACGGTTCCAGTCCAAAGACCCATTGGCAGCGGTTCGGCAGCCGGGGTTTTTGTGGCGCTCCTCAGAGCCCCCTATTTCCCCGACTGTCTCGCCACGACGTCAAGCCTCTGAATTTTGATTGCGTGACCATGGGGATGCTGTAATGGTCGTAAGTGTGAAAAACTGTAACTGAGCAGTCACTAAATGAACAGTTATAAATCAAGGATTTCCTGTAATAAAAGTGGGATTAAAAAAATCAAAGAAAGAAAAGTACTTAATAAATAACACATTTAGCAAGCAGAGACCCAAAGAGATGGAGAATGGGGGCTTTTGATTTTAATCGGGGAGGGTCGCATGCTGTAATTGACAAAAGGGCAAAACACACCGATTCCTCGGCCAGTTTCCTGGCGCTCGCACGGAAAAGCTCAGTTTCTTCTCCAAATGAGAATTCTGTTGTTTTTCTGTTTTCTGTTCTTTTTTTTCTCCTTCCATCCTTCCTTCCCCTCTCCCTCCCTACATTTTTCTTTCTCTCTTTCCTTCCGCCCTACTACTTTCTCTTCCTTTTCCCATCTATCTCTCCCTTTCTTCTCCCTTTTTCTTTTTTCTTTTCCTTCCTTCCTCCTCTCCCTTCCTACATTTTTCTCTTTCTCTTTCCTTCTGCCCTACTTCTTTTTCTTACTTTTCCCATCTATCGCTCTCCCTTTCTTTCTCCCTCTGCTCCTTTTTTCTTTTCCTTCCTTCCTCTTCTCCCTTCCTACATTTTTCTTTTTCTCTTTCCTTCCACCCTACTTCCTTCTCTTCCTTTTCCCATCTATCGCTCTCCCTTTCTTTCTCCCTCTGCTCCCTTTTTTTCCTTTTCCTTCCTTCCTCCTCTCCCTTCCTACATTTTTCTTTTTCTCTTTCCTTCCACCCTACTTCCTTCTCTTCCTTTTCCCATCTATCTCTCTCCCTTTCTTCTCCCTCTTTTTCTTTTTTCTTTTCCTTCCTACCTCCTCTCCCTTCCTACATTTTTCTCTTTCCTTCCACCCTACTTCCTTCTCTTCCTTTTCCCATCTATCGCTCTCCCTTTCTTTCTCCCTCTGCTCCCTTTCTTTTCCTTCCTTCCTCCTCTCCCTCCCTACACTTTTCTCTCTTTCTTTCCTTCCCTCTTCCTTCCTTCTCTTTCTTTTCCCATCTCTCTCCTTCCCTCCTTTCCTCCCTCTTCCCCACTCCCTCCCTTCCTTAGCAATCTGCCTGCAACCGTCATGCTTATTGAATTGGGGGGGGGGGTGTTTGACCCCTTAAATCTGGTTGGAGTAAAGTACCAACTAGGAAAGGCAGCTGAAGCTATACAACACTGCCCCCCCCCCCGGCCCCATCCTCCCAAACCGGGCTTAGTCGTTGCCATCCAATCTCTGTCTTTAATGCACCCAGCATTAAACCACTGTTTGCTCGATCTTGGGTGAATTCAGACGCCGTCACCCACAAAATCACCGCGGTATGAATTGCGTAGCCTCTTTAATTCCCCCCCCCCAAAATGTCTGTCTGGTTAATAATGGGCCAGGTTGGCATCTGAATTTAAAACAAGGGGCTCCTTAAATGCCCCTTGCTGTTGAGACCCCAGACTCGGGAGGCGAGGACAGGCAAAGGGTCAGACCTAACATTTCTCGATTCTCCTGGATTTGAGAAAAGCTGGTAACCACCATCATCGGGAAACCACTTCGAACAGCTGTCCAGGTTGCCTATTTGGCCCTCAAGACTTGCTGGTTGAGCCAAACCGGTCCCAATATGTGCTGGAGCGGCCAGACAAAATAAAGAAAAAAAGAAGGCATCCAGAGGATACGGTCCAGTCAGTTTCCCTTCATCAACACACGAGGTTCTCCCAAAACCGATCCTGTGGTCCCATCAGCTGCCGGACTGGGTGAAACGGAGACCTTTGGAGGTCATCTTCATCCTTTCGGTCCAGTTCTGGCACTCCGCAACTCCCTCCTTCCCCTTTCTGCTACCAAAAAACTCCCCGAGGCTGGAGGAATTCGGAAGTCGGAACGCTGCTGGCGTTGACAGGGATGGAAATCACGGCCCAAGGGAGCCCGTGCTGCTCCAGAGAGCGACGGATCATGTACCTGGGTGAAAATAAGGCAAGCGGGGGGAGGAGAGGAATTTTATTTATTTATTCTTTATTTAATTTGATTTAGAGTATTTATATAGCTGCCTACTCACTCACGGCGACTCTGTGCAGTTCACACACAATTAAAAAACACACTGTAGAAAAAATAAAAATGAACAAGAATAAACTAAAATAATAATAAAAGACTTTTTCTTACAAATATAGCAGCAGTGCCAACTTTAAACAGGAATAGAAGCCTGCAATTTTCTCCCTGCTGGAAGCCATCACAAAATCATCTAATCCTGAAAGGGGATACTGGTACTCCCCGACTTACGACCACAAAATATCTGCTGCTAAGTGAGGCGTTTGTTAAGCGAGTTTTGCCCCCTTTTACGACTTAGCAGTTGCTAAGTGAATCACTGCTGTTAAATTAGTAACGCCATCATTAAATGATTCACTGCAGAACACTTGCAGTGAATCATTTAATGATGGCGTTATTAACTTAACACCATCATTAATAATTGTTAGTAATATGGTTAAGTGAATCAGGTGTCTCCCATGGATTTTGCTTCTCAGAAGGTCGCAAAAGGGCACCCCGGGACCCTGCGAACATCTTAAATATGAATCGGTTGCAAAGCATCTGAATTTTGATTACACCACAACGGTCATGAATGTGACAAGTCACTTTGTTCAGTCCCGTTGTGACTTCGAACGGTCGCTAAAAGAACGGTGGTAAGTCGAGGACTACCCGTACAAATAGGGTTTTGTCAACTCGCAAAACATCCTTGGCCTGCTCTCGAGTTGCCATAGGCAAGGGGGATGGGAAACCGACAAAGCAACAGCCAAAGACATGAGCACATTCCAGACATTTCTCTCTCAAGGTTGTCTCCCAGGGTTAGCCACAGCGGCTGGAGGGGAGTGATCTCCACAACCAGCGAAATTGCTCCAGCGAACGTGATTGATGACACATCCTGGGGGGAGGTCATGATTAGGGCCGTAAATTATGTGGGGTCAGAGTTGGCTCCATTTGGGTACATGGCGATATGGAGCTCCTAATAAATAACTGGATTTCTTTTGAGCCTCATGATTTAATTAGGGCATCCAACAGAACCCTGACAGGTTTATGGTCGAGACCCAGAGAGAGGGAAAGGCTCAGCTGCAGTGCTCACCCATCTCTCCCCAGAAGGAAAAGAGCAGGGATGTCGGCCTTCCGATGGGTGCTCTCCTGGACCATCTCCGCGTAGGTTGTGTCCTTGTCGTAACTATTGTCTGCAATGATCACCACCCGGCCTCCATGTTCCTGAATCGTGCGAGTCTTGGACAGAAAGGAGCAGCCCCTGTGAAAAAGCCCCCAAAAGTCCACATTTACCTTCTTGGAACGGTTGAAAGGACCGTGTTGTAGACACAGGAGATGGGTGGTGTCGTATCCAGTGGCGGGTTTCCAATATTCTTACCACCGGTTGGCCGTGCGTGCGCCCGATCTTCTACACATGCACTTTGCTCGCGTGCCTTTCGTGCATGCGCCTGATCTCGAAAACATGCCTAAATAGGACGGCATAGAGCTGGGGCAGTGGGGCAGGCCCACCCGCAATCTCCGCTACCGGTTCACCTGAACCAGTACGAACCGGCTGAATACCACCTCTGATCATATTCCTTCACCTCTGTAGAGAGAGGACTGTTCAATTTTAACGTAGAAGGTCTCTTTGACCACTCTTTTTTTTTTACTCTTTCTTGCCTGGCTGTCTTTGTCCTCTCTTTCAAACATCCTTCCATAAATTGCAGGAATATCAGAGAAGCTCAGGAGGCTCTTCAGCCAACACAACATACAGGGCCACTTCAAACCCAAAAATGCACTAAGGCAGAAGCTTGCACACGCCCAGGATAAAACACCCAGAGACAAACTGAGCAACGTGGTATATGCAGTACAACGCAGTGAGCCATCTGCAGATCTGTACCCTGGGGAAACAAAACAGCCACTTCACAAACGCGTGGCGCAACACAGAACAAACCCATCGGGACAATAGCCAGCAGTCCATGTGCATTTAAAAGACAAAGGGTGCTCTTTTGAAGACGGCAAAGTCCACATTCTGGACAGAGAGGACCTCTGATTCGAAAGAGGGGTCAAAAAGGCCATCTAGGTCAAAATTGAACAGTCTCCTCTTAACAGAAGGGGAGGGATACACGTCATCTATTTCCAGTCTACAACCCAGTCCTTTCAACAGTCCCAAGAAAGCTCCACACCCATTTGTGCTGCTCAGGACACTGAGGACACAAATAAATCCTCCAAGTGGCCTCAATGACTCTCTAAAAGGATGCAAATGACCAGCTGTCTGCAAGGAATATCAATCCTTCCATTCCCCACCATCCAGTCAGAGCTGAAGAAGCTTCTTGGGTGAGAAGCGAAACATCTTCAAAGAAAAAACATGAAAGTCCAGTTGCCTCTTGAAAAATCACCTTTGGGACAACCATGACCTGGATGTGTTGTGACTCCGACTCCCGAGCACGTCTTATCGGAGGGAGAAGATTCTGAAAGTGAAGGAGAGGAGTTGGCAAGGCCTCCCTCTCCAGGACCCTCCTCTCTGGCATTGCCTCCGGTGTCTTCCGAAGGAGAAGAGTTAGACAGAGATGGAGATAAGTCTTGGCTGGATCCCCGACAGCGTCGGAAAGACAAGCGCACGCAGCAGAGAAGGAGGCGTGCCAGAGATTAAGCTGAGTCACTGGACCACACCCCACAGGGGATAAAAGGGGGTGTGGTGGCCATTCAGGCTTTGTGACAGACAAAATTGAAAGCTAGCAAGTCATTCTGCATTTCTGGAACTTTGTTATATGTTCTGCTTGGATTGATTTTTTGGACTGGACTTGACTATTCTTTTGTGGACTTTGATGTTTTTGGACGGAGGAGATAAACCTCCCTTTGTAAGTAAAGACTGTTGGCAAGCAGTCACTGGGTTGCTGCCAATTCTGTTATCAAAGGAAATTCTTGTCTGCTGGTTTATTTTAACTCTTGGTCGACTGCTGGTGTGCGTGTGTGAGACGGGGACAGAACAGGATGGCTGAGAACCTCCCGAGATATTTCTTGACCACGTGTTGTGGACACTCTTAAATCCAGTACAGTTTCTTCCGGACCTGCTCGCTTGTTAAGAAGGTCCCTGAAAGATCTGGGAGGGGTGGAGGAGAGGGAGGAGACTTCCTCCTGAAATAAACCGCATCCTGGATCCTCCAGCCAGGTTGGCAGCAGAGCCGAAGATTTGAACACAGAGCCTGAAAACCAGCCCACCGACATGCAAAAGGTGAGCGTGGGGAAAACTCACCCGTGTTCCACCAGCGCGATCTGTCCTTCAATGAATACCCCATTGTTCAAGGTACTGCAGGCATCTGGAGGGTCGGATGGAACCAGATAAATCTGCTCGAATCTCATATTCTGGGCAAGCGGGAAATATAGAAAAGAGGAAAGGTTAAAAACCACGGTGGGACCCATCATCCTGTGCCCAGGAGGGACAAGATTTGCCCTGATGGCTTCCCCCCAATCCATGCACAGCAATTTCTGGGTTTTGTTGATGGGATCCAGGGCGTACCTATGCTCTAAACAGCTCCATGTGGGGGTCAGATGTATTGGTTAAATCAGTGCTTTTCAACTTGTAAGTTTAAGATGGGTGGACTTCAACTCCCAGAATTCCCCAGCCAGCCATGCACTGATGCTTAGCACTGATGGTGTTACATACCTGGGTAATGAAACGCCTTCAAAAAAACAAACCAAGTTCAGAGAGTACCAAGGACCCCACAGTCGTCTCCTCCTCCTCCTCCTCCTCCTCCTCCTCCTCCTCCTCTCACCCCACTGCCTTCAAGCACTGATGACATTTCCTAGTTAAGTAATGAAAAATGAGCTCCAAGAGCATCAAGGATGACTCTTCCTCCTCTTCCTCCTCCCTTAACCTCCCTCTTCTAGCACTGATAATGTTACCTAGATGGGTAATAAAATATCTTCAAGAAAATCATAAAGCGCAGAGAGCACCAAAGACTCGCCCAGTTGTTGTCCTCCTCCTCCTCCTCCTCCTCCTCCTCCTCCTCCTCCTCCTCCTCCTCCTCCTCCTCCTCCTCCTCCTCAATGTTGTGGTCCGCCAGTGGCCCATGGAGGAGCTGGCAGCAGAATCGGAGAGAAGGCTGGGGAGGAACATGGGCCAATCCTGGAGTCTGGGGAAGACTCGGACGAGGGCTCTGCGTCGGAGGCAGAGATGGGGCCAGGGCCATCTGGGAGTTATGTGAGGACTCCAGAGCCTGAGTTGGACCTCTGCGAGGCAGAGGAACAGGGGGAGCCTGTTCCCAGTGCGTGCATGCGCAGAGCTGCCAGAAGGTAAGAACAGCTAAAACAAAAGGGACGACTTGGGAGTAAGGCTTGGAGATGATTGTCCCCTCCCATAAGACATAAAGGAGAAGCAAAGGCACATGGGCCCTTTGCAGGAAGCGATGTTGTTAATTCTGTGCAGTTTAATGTCTGAAGCTCTGTTTGATTCTGAACTCTTGTGTGGCTTTGCCAAGTAGGTCTTGGCAGTGTGTCAAGGGAGATGAAGGTGGGTGTTTATCAGCCTTATCAGAAGAACTGTGGCAGACTTCTGTCGGACTGTTTACAATTATTTGGGACTCATCTGTGAATGAACAGATTGAGACTGAATGAGCAGAATTCACAGCCGTTGAAATAAAAAGAGGATTTTTGGGGACTCATTGTGTGCTTTTACTGTTATCAGGAAGCCTAGGTCAGAACACTCAACCCACCCTTCCTTCTAGCACTGATGATGTTACCTAGATGGCTCACGAAACATCTGCAAGAAAATCGAAAAGCTCAGAGAGCACCAAGGACTATGCCATTCAACCCTAAATACAAATATTCTCATCTATTAATACCTTTCTCTGATTTTTCCTACCAAGCAATAACCTTGATTAAGAAGATTGAGGCAAGAGAACATGACAGGAACCAAATCAGATGTGCCGTATTCCTTCCCTTCCCAAAATCTTCTCCCAACAGATGTGCAGGAGGAGATGGAGTCAGGAAAGGTTGGTCTACCACTGAAAGTCCTCCAGATGTTGCTCAACTACACTCTGGTCCTCCCAGAACCAGGCCAACGTTGAGAGATCTTGGGACTTCTAGCTGAAGAACATCTCAAGATCTTCCTCCAACACTAGGTTGCAACCCCAGGGTCTCAAGAGGGTTGAAATTATCTTCTTTTAACCCTTCCTTCCTTCCTTCTCTTCTGGAGACTGCCTTGAGAAGGAAGGGAGAGCTTGACCACCGTGGGCAGGGAAAGACCCGTTTGAAGAAGACTTTGAGAAGAGAAGCTGACTTACGAAGACTCCGCCAAAATCCTTGGCCGGGGTAGCCATGAAGATGTAACGGATATCTCCAGGACTGAGGACATGGAAGTAAAGATACTCCTGGATGCGTAAACCTAGCAGTCAGCAGAGAGAGAGAGAGAGAGAGAGAAGAAGAGAGAGAGAGAGAGAGAGAGAGAGAGAGAGAGAGAGAGAGCGGTTTCTTGATAAGCCAGGAAAACAAAACATTCACCAAAATTGTGCAGTTGTCTTGACATTTGAAGAAACTGGGTTTCAAGCAGAGAAGCTGTGCAGAGTGGTCTCCCTCTCCCTCTCCCTTTCTCTCTCTCCCTCTTTCTCTCTCTCCCTCTTTTCCTCTTCCTCTCCTCCTTTCTCCCTTTCTCTCTCCCCCTCTCTCCCTTTCTCTCTCCCTCCCTTTTTCCCTCTCCCTCCCTTTCCCTCTCTCTCCTTTTCTCTCCCCCTCTCCCTCTCTCTTTTTCTCTCCCCTTTTCCCTCTCTCCCTCCCTTTTTCCCTCTCTCTCCCTACTACCCTTTCCCCTCTCTCCCTTTCCTTCTCTCTTCCTCTTTGTCCCTCCCCTTTTCCCTCTCTCCGTCCTTTTCCCTCTCTCTTTCCCCCTCTCCCTACCACCCTTTCCCCCTCTCCATTTCCTTCTCTCTTTCTCCCCCTCCCTTTTTCCCCTTTTCTCCCTTTCCCTCTCACTCTTCCTCTCACTCTTCCTTTCTTTCCCTCTCTCTTTCTCTCTCTCTCCCTCTCCCTCTTTTTCTCTTCCTCCTTTTTTCCGTCTCCCTCCCTTTCCCTCTGTCTCCCCTTTTTCTCTCCCCTTTTTCCTCTCCCTCCCTTTTTCCCTTTCCCCCTCTCTCCCTACCACCCTTTTCCCCTCTCTCCCTTCCCTTCTCTCTTCCTCTCCCTCCCTTTTCCCCCTTTTCTCCCTTTCCCTCTCACTCTTCCTCTTTCTCTCTCTTTCCCTCTCTCTTCCTCACTTTTTCTCCCTCCCCTCTCTCTTTCTCTCTCTCCTTCTCCATTTCTCTCTCCCTCCCCCCCCCAACCTGTGTAACACAAGTAGTAAAACAAGGAAATGTAGTTACAGGTACAGATAGTCCTTGACTTATGACCACAATTGAGCCCCAAATTGATGTTGCTAAGTGAGACATTTATTAAGTGAGCTTTGCCCCAGTTGTTAAGCGAATCCAGCTCCTCCCTTGACTTGGCTTGTCAGAAGGTCACAAAAGGGGATCACGTGACCCCAGGACTCCGCGACCATCATAAATAGGAGACAGTCGCCAAGCATTCTGGGGATGCTGCAACGGCCATTAAGTGCGAAAAACCGCGATACGTTTTTTTTCCAGGGCCGTTGTAACTTTGAACGGTCACTAAAGGAACGGTCATAAGTCGAGGACTGCCTGTTGTTCTATATTCTGCGGCTGGATTGTGCCTTGAGACGTGACCAGGGAGGGGAGAAAACGGCGGCTGCTTTCCAAGGCAACCGGCTCTTGGCACATGGCAGATCGCAGGTGCCGAGAGCGAAGAGTTAAGAATAGACGCCGAGGCGAGAAGCCGCCTACGCCACGGAAGCCCAGGGAGCCTGGCAGGAGGGAGTTAGGGGTGCGAATCAGAGGCATGCCAGGCGGACGGCACACCCTGCCCTTCAGGGAGAGTGCGTGCAAGCACACGTGTATGTGTTTGTATGTGTATACCTATGTATGTATGTATGTATGTATGTATGTGTGTGTGTGTGTGTGTGTGCATGTGTGCGTGCACACACATATAAACACATATATAACAACAGTTTGTCTGAAATGATAGAGGTTGAGCAGGGGGCTGGACTAGACGACCTCCAAGGTCCCTTCCAGCTCTATTCCTATTGCAATTGCATTGCATTGCATTCTATTCTATTCTATTCTATTCTATTCTATTCTATTCTATTCTATTCTATTCTATTAATTCCATTCTATTCTATTCTATTCTATTCTATTCTATTCTATTCTATTCTATTCTATTCTATTCTATTCTAATTCCACTCTATATTTTCTATTCTATTCTATTCTATTCTATTCTATTCTATTCTATTCTATTCTATTCTATTCTATTAATTCCATTCTATTCTATTCTATTCTATTCTATTCTATTCTATTCTATTCTATTCTAATTCCACTCTATATTTTCTATTCTATTCTATTCTATTCTATTCTATTCTATTCTATTCTATTAATTCCATTCTATTCTATTCTATTCTATTCTATTCTATTCTATTCTATTCTATTCTTATTCCATTCTATATTTTCTATTCTATTCTATTCTATTCTATTCTATTCTATTCTATTCTATTTCCATTCTATATTTTCTATTCTATTCTATTCTATTCTATTCTATTCTATTCTATTCTATTCTATTAATTCCATTCTATTCTATTCTATTCTATTCTATTCTATTCTAATTCCACTCTACTCCCATTTCTATTCTATTCTGTTCTGTTCTGTTCTGTTCTATTCTACTCTACTCTATTCTTATTCCATTCTATATTTTCTATTCTATTCTATTCTATTCTATTCTATTCTATTCTATTCTATTCTATTCTATTCTAATTCCATTCTATATTTTCTATTCTATTCTATTCTATTCTATTCTATTCTATATTTTCTATTCTATTCTATTATTCTATTCTATTCTTATTCCATTCTATATTTTCTATTCTATTCTATTCTATTCTATTCTATTCTATTCTATTCTATTCTATTCTATTCTATTCTATTCTATTCCATTCCATTCTATCCTATCCTATTCCATTCCATTCCATTCTATTCTTATTCCATTCTATATTTTCTATTCTATTCTATTCTAATTCTATACAGATTGATAGATATGTAGAGATATATGTACACAGATATAACACAAATGAACATGATATATATATATATATATACACAAAGGGTATACGTCCATATGCATAAATGTGCATCCATGTATGATTACGCACACATGGAACAGCTAGTCCTTGACTTACGATCACAGTTGAGCCCAAAATTTAGGTGGAACCCCCCCCTTCTTCTTTGGGGCAGCCCCTCAAATACTGAAATACGGCCATCATCCTGCCGCTCCTAGTCCTTCAGATAGCACAGAGTTTAGGGGCTAATAGCGACAAGGCTTTGACTCATGACGTTGGATTCTTAAAACCTAGAACGTACATAGGATAATAGGGTTGGAGGGGACCTGGGAGGCCTTCTAGTCCAGCCCCCTGCTCAAGCGGGCGGCCCTCTTTCACTCTGCACAAATGGTTGTCCAGTCTCTTCTTGGAAAATCCTCCAGCGATGGAGCACCCATATTTGGACCGTGATGCCCTATGCACAGTCACTCATGCGTTAGTCACCTCCCGGATTGACTACTGCAATGCTCTCTACCTGGGGCTGCCCTTGAAGACCCCTCGGAGGCTTCAGCTGGTGCAGAATGCGGCCGCGCGGGTTGTGATGGGAGGATCCCAATACTCCCATGTTACACCTCTCCTGCGCGACTTGCATTGGTTGCCGGTTGCCCTCCGGGTGAGATTCAAGGTGCTGGCGTTAAACTATAAAGCCGTGATGGCGAACCTATGGCACGCATGCCACAGGTGGCACACTGAGCCCTGTCACCTGGCACGCCAGCTCAGCTCTCAGCCTCTCTCGGAGTCTCTGGAGGCTGGGGACAGCAAAAAAATGTCACTTCCTGTCCAACTGAAAGTTGGAAAACAAGCTGTTTCGGGCCTCCGGAGAGGCTCCGAGGGGATGGGGAAGGCTGTTTTTGCCCTCCCCAGATGCACAGAGAGGATCTGGAGCCAGGTGAGAAAGAAAAACGGACCTACTGGGCCATCGCGTGCCAGGAGCAGGGGGGAGGGGGGGTCGCATGCGCATGTGCGGAGTGGGGCGCATAGAATTATGGGTGTGGGCACGTGTGTACGCGAACCACCCCCACCCACCCCTTCCTGGCACGCGATGGCAAAAAGGTTAGCCATCGCTGCTATAAAGCCTTTCATGGCTTAGGCCCAGGATATCTGTCGGACCACCTGCAACCAGCATCGACTTCCCATCGCCCGGTGCGTTCCCACAGAGAGGGCCTACTCAGGGTGCCGTCGGCTAGACAATGTCGGCCGGCGACCCCCAAGGGTAGAGCCGTCTCTGTGGCCGCGCCCACCCTTTGGAATCAACTTCCCGTGGGTCTTCGGCTGGCCCCCGACCTTCGTACCTTCCGCCGTGAGCTTAAGACCTGGCTGTTTAAACGCCCTAGCCGGGACTGATGGGGTCTACTGTTTTAAATGGGTTTTTAGTCTGTTTTAGAATGTTTTAATTTGTATTTATTGGGATTGTTTCGTTTGATGTGAGCCGCCCTGAGTCCTTTGGAGAGAGGGCGGTATATAAATCCAATAAATAATAATAATAATAATAATAATAATAATAATAATAATAATAATAGTAGTAGTAGTTGTTGTTGTTGTTGTTGTTATTATTATTATTATTATTATTATTATTATTATTATTATTATTAAATCTTTAGTGAGATTCACAGCCTTTGAGGCTGGTTAATAGCTCAGCAGCTCAAGTCCTAACCAAGGACCTAGGAACTGTTAAGGTATTATTATTATTATTATTATTATTATTATTATTATTATTATTATTATTATTATTATTTGGTTAATCTTTAGTGAGATTCACAGCCTTTGAGGCCGGTTAATAGCTCAGCAGCTCGAGTCCTAACCAAGGACCTAGGAACTGTTAAGGTATCGTCGGAGGATGGAAGCTGTTCCGAGTAAGGTGGTTTTTTGTAGAGTCAAAATGTTCAAGTCCGGCAAATTTAGAATTTCTCAATAGCGGGGTAGCCCTTTGGGTATTGCTCCAAGGGCTCCAATTACAATCAGGACATTATTATTAATTATTATTATTATTATTATTATTATTATTATTATTATTATTACTATTACTATTACTATTATTATTATATAATGGTTAGGACTCGAGCTGCTGAGCTATTAACCAGCCTCAAAGGCTGTGAATCTCACTAAAGATTAAATAATAATAACAACAACAACAACAACAACAACAACAACAACTTCTGGTGGCAGGCTGTTCCTCTGGTTAATGGTCTTCACTGTTAGGAAGTTTGTTTATCCTTCATTCCAGGTTGCTTCTCTCCTTGATCACTTTCCATCTCTCGTCCTGCCTTCAGGTGCTTTGGAGAACAGGTGGACCCCCCCCTCCCTTTCTCTGTGGCAGCCCCCCCCCCAAATACTGGAATGCCCCCCCTCCCTTCATCCTTTTCTCTAGACAGGCCCTACCCAATTCCTGCATCGTGCTTCCTGCAGATGCACGCATTCCCCCACCCGCTAGGCTTATGGAACAGACCCGCATGCACCCCCAAAGCCACCAGCCCACGCGGGACACCCCGATCGCGGCCACCCACCCGCGTGGCACGCCGCCCCCACCCCCCCCCCGCCAGCTGAGCCTACCCCCCACCCCCCACGCTTGCAGGGGTTGGCATGCATGCATGCATGGATGCAAGGCAGGCAGGTGCGGGTTGCACCGCGATCGGCCTCACCGTGACCAGCCGGGCAGAAGCAGAGAAGCAGCGCGAGCCAAGCGGGCCGGGCGGGGAACATCGCTGGGGACGCTGCCTGCCTCGCACCGCGGAGCTCCCCACCCCCTCACCCCCAGCTCAGCTGGCAGCGGCTGCAGCCGGGGCCACGCCCACCCCCTCCTCGGATTGGAGGAGCCGCAGCTCTGGGCGGAGCCGAGGAGGGCCTGTCAATGAATGAATGAATGAAATCATCCGCTCCCTTTGTCATACTGATCGCCTCCGAATAGACCCGAAGGCCGATTTTGTTTTGCGGGTGGGGAGGGCAGGAGGGGGGGGGTTTCTCTCCTGACTTGCTTAAAGCCTCGAAATCGAAATTTATTTATTTATTTATTTGTTTGTTTGTTTCCATTTCTATACCGCCCTTCTCCAAATAGGACTCAGGGCGGTGAACGGCCAAAGTAAAAAAAAAAACAGAACATACAAAATTTAAAAGCAGTTTAAAATAATTAAATATTTTGGCCGTAAATTAAAACAACCCAATTTAAAATCAATTTAAAATTTAAAAATGATTGGAGGATCTATGCCAACATATAAAGGCTATTCGGATAGGACAGGACGGTAGGTAGATGAGAGAGAGAGAGAGAGAGAAGGAGGAATAGATGATAGAGATAGATAGAGATAGATAGAGATGGATAGAGATAGAGAGAGATAGATGGAGATAGAGAGAGAGAGAGAGAGATGGAGATCGATCGATCGATGATAGATGATAGAGATAGATAAGAGATGGATAGATATAGATAGATAGATAGATAGATAGATAGATAGATAGATAGATGAGAGGTAGAGAGAGATGGATATAGATAGATGTAGATAGATGATAGATAGATAGATAGATAGATAGATAGATAGATGATAGAGAGATAGATAGATAGAGAGATAGAGAGATGGATAGATATATAGATGGAAATAGAGAAAGAAGGAGGAATAGATGATAGAGATAGATAGATAGATAGAGATAGATTTATTTATTTATTTATTACATGTATTTATATGCCGCCATTCTCCCGAAGGACTCAGGGCGGGGAACACAAGTTAAGAAACAAGTACAATAAAATCATAATTTAATCCAAATAATTAATTAGTAGTAAATAATAAAGTCTCAGCCTATTTGTTTGAAAAGCCAAGTCTTCAACTTGGAGATAGATAGATAGATGATGAGAGAGAGAGATGGATAGATATATAGACGGAAATAGAGAAAGGAAGAGGAATAGATGATAGAGATAGATAGATAGAGATGGAGATAGAGATGGATAGATGGAGATAGATGGAGAGATGATAGAGATGGATAGAGATGGAGATTGATCGATAGATGATAGATAGGTAAGAGATGGATAGATATAGATAGATATAGATGGAGATAGATAGGTAGATGAGAGAGAGAGAGAGATGGATATAGATGTAGATAGATGATTGACAGAATAGATAGTAGATAGACGAGAGATAGATGAGAGAAGGAGGAATAGATGAGCCTGTAGTACAGTGGACTAAAGCACTGTTATTAACATCAGCTGCTTGCAATTACTGCAGGTTCGAATCTCGCCAGGCTCAAGGTCGACTCAGCCTTCCATCCTTTCTAAGGTAGGTGAAATGAGGACCCGGATTGTGGGGGCAATAAGCTGACTTTGTATAAATATACAAAAGGATGAAGGCTGTTGCTTAACGCATTGTAAGCCGCCCTGAGTCTCCGGAGAAGGGCGGCATATAAATCAATTTTTTAAAAAAATAGATGATAGATAGGTGATAGATGATAGATAGAGAGAGAGATGGGTATAGATAGATGGAGATAGATGATAGAGAGAGAGATAGACAGAGTATGGCTGATTGATAGATAGATACGTAAGAGGAGGAAGAAGGGTTAGATATGTTTACCACGTATCTGTTTCTTAAAAATATTGAGGGGGGGTGGGAAGAGGGAGAGAGAGGGATGGATGGATGATACAGAGATAAACAGACAGCAGAAAGATGTTAAAAGAAGAATGAAAGAGAACAAAGAGTTTTAAGAAACGCTGCTCTAAACCATGTCAGCTGGGAAATTCTGGAAGTTGCAGTCCACCCATTTCAAAGATGTTGAACTTGAGAAACAATGCCTTAGCCTAGTGAATCATGGATTAATGCAAGTTTTTGCTGACCCCCGAGGAAACGCAGCCACCGCCTCGGCCCAAACTCCCCATTATTTCCAAGAACAATTAAATGTCTTCTTATCTATTCTCCCACTGTAAAAAAAAAATATATATATATAGCATGGATTAGGTGGCTAAAAAAAAAAGTTTTAATATGAACCCCCAAGTGCCCGTGCGAGGAGGGCTCTTCTTTTTCTCTCTCTCTCTCTCTCTCTCTACGAGACTGACGCCGAAACGTCCCTTGGAAAGCCCCGCCCTTCCGCTCGGCCCCGCCCACGCGAAGTTTCTAGGCGAGCGCGGTGCATTCTGGAGAGGAGACGGTTTGAGCAGGGCCGCCGCCAAGATGATGGTGAGTGACGGGAGGGGAGAAGCGGCGGGAGAGGCGCGTTTATCCGCCGCCATCCTCCGCGGGGCGGGCGTCGTTCCCCTCGCGGGTGGCCTTTTCCTCCTTGGGAGAAGCTTCTCTGCGAGAAGGAGCCGGTATTGATGGGAAGCCCGGGGCGGGTCGCCGGTGGGCGGGCGGCCAACGCGGGAGCCTCGCCGGTTGCTTCCTCCCCATGCAACGTATATATATATAGAGGCCTCCCTAAGCGGAGCTCAAAGCCAAAGGGCTCCACGCGGCCAGGGCCGGCATCCCGGGGACTATAACTCCCGGCAGCCTCTAGGGCGGCCGGTGCCTTTAAACGGAGTGGCTGCTTTGCCGCGAGGCATTGTGGGAGATGTAGTCCCTAGAGCAGTGATCCTCAACCTTAGCCATTCTATGACATGTGGACTTCAACTCCCAGAGTTCCCCAGCCAGCAAGTCTGGCTAGGGAATTCTGGGAGTTGCAGTCTGCACGTCTTAAGACTTGGCAAGGTTGAGAAACGCTGCCTTAGAGGAATTCAAGGCAGGGCAAGCTTCCCCATGGGAACTACAGGTATTGCGGATGGGGTGCATGTGTGAAGACTACGAGGCGTGTTATCGCGTGATGCACAAGCTGGGTTTGCAAAACAGGCAGGGCCTTCCCCCTGCAAGAGGGGGGGCTGTATTTACTATATATATATATGTGTGTATGTATGTATGTATGTATGTATACATATACAGATATATACATATACAGATATATATATACATATACATACATACAGCTATATATATATATGTATGTATGTATGTATGTACAGTTAATATCTCTGGTTTCTTCCTGTGTAATTGTAAACATATCCTTAAAAGGGTAGTAGCAAAGTTTCGACAAAATCACACTCGTCATCTTATATATATATATATAATTTTTTTTAAAAAAATAATTTTTATTAAACAGTTTTAGCTTTAAAAACAACACAAAAAACAATCACACACATATTAAAAACAAAACATGTCAAGACATAACATATTGAACATTACATAACATTAATGGTAATTTTACAGCATTTCGTATAGATTTACATACTTTGCTTTTGTAGTTCTCTATTCTATTATTTCTATTTACTACTCCCAATAGTACAACATTAAATAAAGAGAGGTAACTATAAACAAATATAAATGTTTAGATAAGAACAATGAATATTATAATATATAATATATATCAGAACATACCTCCACCCAATCAGAACACAGCCAAGCTCCCACCCAATCAGTTCACATCCCCACTGGCAGTTAAAAGGAAGAAACAGCTGCGATCACACATTGCTCCTAGAAGCACGAAGCCGAAAACACCAGCCTGAAGATGACGAATGAGACTTTGTCGAAATGTCGCCAAGACACTTCCAATTTTACGTGGGAGAAAACCCGAATAACCAAAGACCTATATACACACACACACACACACACACACACACACACATACATATATACACACACACATACATACATACATATGCGAAAACTTAAGACATATATAACACACATATATGTTGGAGTAATGCGATTATTCTCTTTTATTTATTTTTAATTTATTATACACCCATCTCACTGTCAAGCAATTCTGGGCAGCTTTCAACAATAGAAAAGCATATTACAAAATGAGTAAATGTTAAACGCTTTCAGCATTCAGAATTAAAACATTAAATATCATCCGAGACCAGAAAGAAAGAAAGAAGGGACCACTAGGAAGATGGAATGGAGGTGGGATTTTCTCATTGGTGGTGTTGTGTTTTTGGGACGCGCAATGAAATTCCTTACGATTTATATTGATATTGTTTCCTGATTGCTTATTTTGTACCCTATGACTATCATTAAGTGTTGTACTTTATGGTTCTTGATGAACGTATCTTTTATGTATACTGAGAGCGGATGCACCAAGACAAATTCCTCGTGTGTCCAATCACACTTGGCCAATAAAATTCTATGATTATGGTTCAAATGTGTTTTGCTGAGTTGCCACTTTTGGCCTGTTGACGCCCGACCTTTGACCCGCCCTCGTTTTTTTCCCCTGCAGCCCACCCCTGTCATCCTGCTGAAGGAAGGCACCGATACTTCTCAAGGGATCCCGCAGCTGGTTAATAACATCAGCGCTTGCCAGGTGATCGCGGAAGCCGTCCGGACTACGCTGGGCCCTCGGGGCATGGACAAACTCATTGTGGACGACAGAGGTGAGGCTGGTGCTGAACAGAGACCCCCCCACACACACACAATTGCCAAGAAATCGGGGGGGGGTGTCTCCAACTTCGACAACTTTTAAGACGGGTGAACTTCAACTCCCAGAATTCCTCAGCCAGCCATGATTGAAATCCACCCGTCTTAAAAGTTTCCAAAGTTGAAAACTTTAGAACACCATTGTAGGGAGCCTTTAATATCCCTGCCTTAAGGCAGGTAGTCCTCGACTTCCAACGGTGCATTTAGTGACCGTTCAAAGTTACAGCGGCACTGAAAAAAGTGACACATGGGTCTTTTTTCACGCCCCATGGTCAGGTGATCAAAATTCAATAAGCAGGGGTCTGCAACCTTAAGCACTCAAAGAGCCATTTGGACCTGGTTTCCCACAGAAAAGAAAACACCGGGAGCCACAACACCCTTCCTGTGCCTGACGATTTTTTGAGCGGCCACAAAACTAACACATGTAGTTGAATTAAATGTTCTTTTTTTCTTCTGAAACTTTTCTTGGATTTATCCATGGTTGGCCTACCGGGGTTGAAAAGCTCAATAAATCGCGTGTTGGCGGGTGTCACACTTTGGCGGTTGTGACGCATATTTAAGAGTGCCAGGGAGCCACAGCAGAGGGGTGAAAGAGCCACATGCGGCTCCAGAGCCGCAGGTTGCTGACCCCTGCCCATAAGAGAGCTCTGTGGGGCTGTGAGTGCCGAACCAGGAGTCCAGTTATGGTCTCCCAACAAGCCAACATTTGTGGATCAGTGACTAGGGAGCGGGCTGTGAAGGAGGATCCCGGATCTGCGCACCTTCCGCTGCGCTCTTAAGACCTTTTTATTCCACCAGGCAGGCCTGGCCTAATCTTTTCCCTCTTTTTAATTATTCAAATTTTAATTGGTTTTTTAAATGATTGGGGTTTTAGTATGTTTGGGCCAAATTTGTTTAATTTGATTTTACGTTGTTTTTAAATTTTGTATCTATGTATTTTTACTGTTTGGCTGTTCACTGCCCTGAGTCCTTCGGGAGTAGGGCGGTATATAAAATAAATAAATAAATAAGTAAATAAATAAGTAAATAAGTAAAATAAGTAAATAAATAAGTAATAAAAGTAAATATAAGTAAATAAAAGTAAATAAATAATAAGTAAATAAATAAAGGTTGGTAAGGATATTTGTTATTGTTGGACTACATGGGCCTCCTCTGCCAGTCCCCTCTTTTCGCTGTTCGGACTCTGCTCAAATGTCCAAATACATCAAAACGCCATTCTGTGTGCGATCTGACAGCTGTCAATCTTTGCAGGCAAAGCCACGATCTCCAACGACGGTGCCACCATCCTGAAGCTTCTGGACGTGGTCCACCCTGCGGCCAAGACGCTGGTAGACATCGCCAAGTCCCAGGATGCGGAGGTGGGCTCGGGAACGAGGAAACAGAATTGGAGGTTTGGGGGGGGGGTTGTCTCTGGGGCTTCTCTGTCATCCAGGTTCTGGTTGTCCCAAAGATGCTGTTTCGAAGGGCAACTGGACTTCCTTGTTTCGTTGTGTTTTGTTTTTTGTTGTGTTTTGTTTTTAATTTGATTTATATGCTGCCCTTCTCCGGAGACTCAGGGCGGCTTACAGTGCGTTTTGTTTTGTGTTGTGTTGTGTTGTGTTGTGTTGTGTTGTGTTTTGTTTTGCCTTTGAAAACGTTCCGAAGAAGATTCTGGGATGAGAAGCGAAACGTTTTCAAGGAAATAAAAAACCCCCCAGAAACTCCAGTTGTTCTTTTCAAAAGCACCTTGGAGGGGGGGGAAGGACAGTAACAGTAACAGAATTGGAAGGGACCTTGGAGGTCATCTAGTCCAAACCCCCCCGCTCACGCAGGGAGACCTATACGAGGGATTCCTGAAGGCCCCTGCAAAGTGAAGGTAGTGCCCCATGGAGAGAGAGCGGAGACTCCCCAATTCATTGTCCCTCCAGATGTCAGAGAAAGTGGGGTACAGGCAGTCCTCAACTGTACAACAGTTTCATTTAGTGACCGTTCAGAATTGCAATGGCATGGGGAAAAAAGTGACTTACGGCCGTTACGTCGTAATAACGTTATGCCGTTATTACTTTACTTTACTTTACTTTATTCAAATTTCTATACCGCCCTTCTCCTTTCGGACTCAGGGCGGTGAACAGCCAAGATAAAAACATCTATACAAAACATCACAGTTAAAAAATAAAGTTAAAATAATTTATAAATTTGGCCCATAATTTAAAACTTGTCAATTTAAAATCAATATTAAAATTTTAAAACTAACCCTAAAATCAAGACAGACCGGCTAACTGGAAAAAATAAGTTTTTAGGGCCCGACGAAAAATCCGAAGGTCGGAGATCGCTCGTATCTCTGGGGGTAGATTGTTCCATAGGGTAGGTGCCACCACAGAGAAGGCTCTCCTCCTGGGGGTCGTCAGCCGGCATTGTCTGGCCGACGGCACCCTGAGGAGGCCCTCTCTGTGGGAGCGAACCGGCGGTGGGAGGCTATTGGTGGCAGAAGGCGGTCCCGTAAGTACCCTGGCCCTAAGCCATGGAGCGCTTTAAAGGTGATCACCAACACCTTGAAGCGCACCCGGAAGTCCACCGGAAGCCAATGCAGCTCGCGCAGGAGAGGAGTCACATGGGAGCGCCCGTCGCTCCCATAATCCCCCGCGCAGCCGCATTCTGCACCAGTTGGAGCCTCCGGGTGTACCCCAAGGGGAGCCCCATGTAGAGAGCGTTACAATAGTCCAGACGAGAAGTGACGAGTGCTTGAGTGACTTACGTCGTAGCATCCCTGCAGTCACATCATCAAAATCCAGCCAATTCATGTTTATGACGGTTGCAGCATCCCGGGACTCACGCGATCCCCTCTTGCGGCCTCCTGACCAGCAAAATCAACAGGAAAGCCAGATTCACTTAACGATGTGTTTCTAATTTAACAACCACAGGGATTCACTTAACAACTGCGGCAAGAAAAGTGGTAAAATGGGACCCATGGCAAATGTTTCACTTAACCAGCAGACATTTTGGGCTCCGTTGTGGCCGTACATCGAGGGATACCTGGACGTATCCTAAGGGGGGGGGGAATCCTGAGGAGTTGCTTCTGGCGAAGCGCTGGATCCAGAGATCTGCTCCTGAAAGGGAAGATCTGGGAATCTTGTGATGGGGTTTGGAGTGGTCTTGGTTAGAGTGCCTCCCAAGTGGGGAAGGGACGGAGCGGAGCACCTGAGCTTCCTCAGGAGGAAAACACTCTTATTCCGAGATCTTCCCTTCCCAGGTTGGGGACGGCACCACGTCGGTGACACTCCTGGCTGCCGAATTCCTGAAGCAAATCAAGCCCTACGTGGAAGAAGGCCTCCACCCCCAGATCATCATCCGTGCCTTCCGCGTGGCAACCCAGCTGGTAAGCTGAAGCCGCGGCCGTCCGGTTGGCCTCCTTCCCTTCCAGAAAACCGTTTTCACCTTGAAATCCGACAGGCTAATTGATCTGCGGAGTTCTTAGTGGCTCCTGGGTGTTTGGCACCAAGAGTGTCCACCGAGGCCTTGGAGAAGAAGAGAAAATCAAAATAAACAAGCTGGCTGTAAGACTCACTACTGGCCGACTCGTTGTGGGATAACTGAAGGGAGCGACAACCGAATTGCAAGCATGGTTGTCCAATCTCTTCTTAAAAACCTCCAGTGTTGGAGCATTCACGACTTCTAGTGGCAAGTTGTTCTACTGGTTAATTGTTCTCACTGTCAGGGAATTTCTCTTTATTTCTAAGTTGCTTCTCTCCTTGATGAGTTTCCACCCGTTGCTTCTTGTCCTGCCCTCAGGTGCTTTGGATAACAGGTTGATCCTTTCTTGTTTTCCTTTGACAGGCAGTGGAGAAGATCCGGAAGATTGCGGTCACCATCAAGAAGACAGATCCAGCGTAAGTGGCTCTCGGTCTCCTTTGCGATTCCGTTTGTGACAAAAATCATTTCTGGAATGATGGGATAGATGAAATGCAGAGAGGGAGATAAGGCCATAGTCTGTTTCTCTTACTAGAACAATCCTTTATTTTGGCAGAATGGGATGGAATGGAATAGAAAATATGGAATAGAATAGAAAATATGGAATACAATAGAATGAATAGAAAATATGGAATAGAATAGAAGAGTAGAATAGAAAATATGGAATAAAATTGAAGAATAGAATGGAATAGAAAATATGGAATGGAATAGAAAATTAATAGAATAGAAAATATGGAATACAATAGAATGGAATAGAAAATATGAATAGAATAGAAGAGTAGAATAGAAAATATGGAATAAAATTGAAGAATAGAATAGAATAGAAAATATGGAATGGAATAGAAAATTAATAGAATAGAAAATATGGAATAGAGTAGAGTAGAATAGAATGGAATAGAAAATATGGAATAGAATAGAAGAGTAGAATAGAAAATATGGAATAAAATTGAAGAATAGAATGGAATAGAAAATATGGAATGGAATAGAAAATTAATAGAATAGAAAATATGGAATAGAGTAGAATAGAATAGAATAGAAAATATGGAATAGAAGAACAATGGAATGGAATAGAATAAAATAGAATAGAATAGAAAATATGGAATAGAATAGAAGAATATAATGGAATGGAATAGAATAGAATAGAATAGAATAGAATAGAATAGAAAATATGGAATAGAATAGAAGAATAGAATGGAATGGAATAGAATAAAATAGAATAGAAAATATGGAATAGAATAGAATAGAATAGAAAATATGGAATAGAATAGAAGAATGGAATGGAATAGAATAGATAGAAAATATGGAATAGAATAGAATAGAAAATATGGAATAGAATAGAAGAAGGAATGGAATGGAATAGAATAAAATAGAATAGAATAGAAAATATGGAATAGAATAGAAGAATAGAATAGAATAGAATGGAATAGAATAGAATAGAAAAGAAGAATGGAATGGAATAGGAATTCTTTATTGGCCAAGTGTGATTGGACACACAAGGAATTTGTCTTTGGTGCATACGCTCTCAATGTACATAAAAGATACCTTCGTCAAGAATCATAAGGTACAACACTTAATGATAGTCATAGGGAACAAATAAGCAATCAAATCATACTAGGAAACAATATCAATATAAATGGCAAGGATCCAAGCAACAAGATTACAGGTGTGTTTAGGGGCGGCTCTCCCAAAGTAATCCTCCCTCTTGATTGAGGGGAGAGATTTCTCTCCCTGCTTATTGCCGTACTGCTTATTCCTCCTTTTATGGCGTCTAAAGGGAAACGGGCACCGGAAGTCACCCAAGCTCCGTTACCTAAAGTAGCCTGAGCTCCTTTGCCTCTCAATACGGGTAGTCCCCGAGTTACGACTACAGTAGCACCCGAAGTTTCTGTTCCTAAGTGAAATATTTGTTAAGTGAGTTTGTCCTGTTTTTATGACTTTTCTTGCCACTGTTGTTAAGCGAATCATTGCATTTGTTAGTTAGCAACATGGTTGTAAAGTGAACCTGGCTTCCCCCTTGACTTTGCTTGTCAGAAGGTCGCAAAACGGGATCATGTGTCCCCAGGGCACTGCGACGGTCATAAATACGAGTCAGGTTGCAAGCATTTGAATTTTGACCACCCGGCTACGGGAATGCTGCAACAGTCGTAAGTGTGAAAAACGGTCATAAGTCCCTTTTTTCAGTGCCATTGTAACTTTGAACAGTCACTAAACGAACTGTTGTAAGTGGAGGACTACCTGTATGTATGCTTTGCATCATCTGCCTTTCTAAGGTATATAAATATGAGTACTGATAGAATATTTGTAGCTCGGGGTAATTTTTATTTTTTTATTTACTTTATTATATTTTATTTTGATTGATTTCTGTTGGATAATAGTTGTGTTTGTCCCAAGTATGTTTATTTATTTTATTTTATTTATTTATTTATTTATTTTATTCAATTTGTATACCGCCCTTCTCCTAGTGGACTCAGGGCGGTGCACAGCCAGAAACTAAAACACATACAATACTGAGTTTAAACTCAGTTACTGACAATTTACCCTCCATTTCCGCTGGAAGTTGGTTCCAAGCTTCCACTAGTCTTTCTGTGAAGTATAAGCAGTCCTCGAATTACAACAGTTCATTTACTGACCATTCAGAGTTAACAACATCACTGAAAAACGATACGACCGTTTTCACACTGAACAACTGTTTGAGTCTCCTCATAGCCACGTCAACCCAATTCGGACTGTTGGCAACTGTCTCACATTTACGACGTCTGCAGTGTCCCGGGATCGTTTGATCCCCTTTTGCGACCCCCTGACAAGCAAAGTTAGTGAATAAACCAGATGCGCTTAACAGCCGTGTTCCTGACTTAACACCTGCTGTGATTCGCTGAACAACTGTGGCAAGACACGTCGTAAAAGGGGGCAGAACCCGCTCAGTAAATCTCTCGCTTAGCAACAGAAACGTTTGGGTTCCGTTGTTTGGTCGTAAGTCGGGGACTACCTGTATTGAAAATCTGAGCTGCTTTAGCCCAGGGTTGCCCTAAAGCAGGGGGTGTCAAACTGGATTCCTTCGAGGGCCGGATCAGCATTGTAGTTCTCCTCTATGGGCGGCCAGGGGTGGGTGGGTGGGGGATGGGACAGATGCCTCCTGCAGCATTTTGCTGGGCAAAATGGGGCGCGGGGTCCTTGGCTATTCCAGGCTGACCCCGTTGACCAGATTTAAGCACCCGAATTTGGCCCGTGGGCCTTGAGTTTGACACTCCTGCCCTATGGATGGCTTAAGAAGAATTTTTTAAATTTTTTAAATGTTTTTTTAATTGGTTTGTGATTTTTAAATTTTTGGGCCAAATTTATATATATTTTAATTGTTTTTAATATTTGTATTTCATGTTCTTAATTCTGGCTGTGCACCACCCTGAGTCCTCAGGGAGAAGTGTGGTATATAAATTGAAAAATAAATAAAAATAAAAAATAAAAATAAATAAATAAATTAAATAAATTAAATAAATTAAATAAATAAAAATGGATGGCCGTGCAAACTGTCCCTCTTCCTTTTCCGTCCTCCCCCCGTAGAGAGATGAGAGACCTGCTGGAGAAGTGCGCCAGCACCGCGTTGAGCTCCAAGCTGATTTCCCATCAGAAGGACTTCTTCGGCAAGATGGTGGTGGACGCCGTCATGATGCTGGACGAGCTGCTGCAGATCAAAATGATCGGCATCAAGAAAGTGCAGGGCGGAGCTTTGGAGGTAGGCTGGAAGCGGGGAAGAGGGGAGGGGTCTGGGATACCCACCGACATTTCTTGATGGGTTTATTAAGTGAAGCCAGCACTGTCCGAAGACATTTCCACCGTCGTGGTCAGCATGATGTCACAGAGCACCGTTAACTTCCCACCAAAGTGGTACCTATTGATCTACTCGCATTTGCATGCTTTCGAACTGCTAAGGTTGGCAGGTGGCTGAGGCCAGGACGGGAACTCACCCTGTCGCGTGGCGCTTGGGTCTCCAACCTGGGCTGCCGGCTTTCTAGCTGACGAGCCATTCCCTGAGAATTCTGTAATTTTGGCCGCTAAACGATTGGTCGTAAACTGAGAACTACCTGTAAATGATCCCCCCGCCTTGTTTAGTGACTTCAGACCAAGCTTCTCTCTAGAACAGAAGTGAAGAACTACGCCCCCTTTTGTGGACTTCCAACTCCCAGAATTCCCCAGCCGGCGTCGCCATTCCTGACAATTCCGGGACTTTTAATTGTTTTTAATGTTTTAATTTTTAATGTTTTTATATATGGTTTTTAAATGCATTGTAAGCCCCTTTTTTTTTTTGGCAGGATTCCCAGCTGGTGGCCGGCGTGGCCTTCAAGAAAACCTTCTCCTACGCCGGCTTTGAGATGCAACCGAAGAAGTACGAGTCGCCCAAGATCGCCCTGCTCAACATTGAGTTGGAGCTCAAAGCCGAGAGGGACAACGCGGAAGTCAGAGTCCAAAATGTGGCGGTGAGGCCTGGGCTCTTATTTGGGAGTGGGGGGGGGGTAGAGAAAGGAAGCTGTGCAGTGAGGCAGGGGTTAAAAAGGGGTGGGTGGGGGCTCTCAGAGGCTTTTGTGGTGATAAGACAACTGGGCTGGGCACGGCTGTTGTACCTAAGCCAGCATTCCTAACCTTAAAACCATTTTGAGATGTGTGGCCTTCCACGAAGAGCCTTGGTGGCGCAGCGGACTAAAGTGCTGTTAAGTAGCACCAGCTGCCTGCCATTACTGCGAGTTCAAATCTCACCAGGCTCAAGGTTGACTCAGCCTTCCATCCTTCCGAGGTAGGTAGAATGAGGACCCGGTTTGTGGGGGCAATAAGCTGACTTTGTATAAAAAAAGAACACCACTTGGGGGGGGGCGAAAGCCCTACTAAGCAGGTATATACAAAAGTATATGAAGGCTATTGCTTAACGCATTGTAAGCCGCCCTGAGTCTCCGGAGAAGGGTGGCATATAAATCGAACCAATAAATAAATCTCCCAGAATTCCCCAGCCATGGATCAGTGTTCCCCAATTTTAGCCATTTTAAAATATGTGGACTTACTCTAATCGGACCTGATCTGATCTAATCTGAAGTGGTGTAGGGTTTCTTGCCTGAGCAGGGGGTTGGACTAGAAGACCTCCAAGGTCCCTTCCAACTCTTTTGTTATTCTATTCTATTTCTAATCTGGCGTATTACACGTGCCAAGACTTCCTTATCGGTTGGTTGTGGTAGAATTAATCCCAGCCTTTTGCCTCTGATCCCACAGGAGTACCAGGCCATCGTGGACGCCGAGTGGAACATCTTGTACGACAAGCTGGACAAACTCCACAAATCCGGAGCCAAAGTCATCCTCTCCAAGCTGCCCATCGGGGACGTGGCTACTCAGTACTTTGCGGACAGGGACATGTTCTGCGCCGGCCGAGTCCCCGAAGAAGACCTGAAGAGGACCATGATGGTGAGGGCCCTTTCCCCTGGGGCCCATGGGGTGTGGGTAGAGGGGGACAATTGCCCACCCAGAATCGGAGCGAGGGCTGGCGGGGGAAGACTCTCCCAGTTGATGTGCTGCGTAAATTATATATTACGCAGAACAAATATGCTTTCGCGTGTGCAGACGGGGTCCTTGACACTCTCTGAGCCTGGTTCTTTTCTCACGCTAGAATTGACTGTTTATATACAGATGGCTTGTCCCATCAGGTTGGGTGGGAGTGTCCTTGGTGGAGTCTTGATTTAGCAGCTCTTTACGGTTTGATTGTTGGTGTAGAATTGATCTTGGTGTTAACATCTGCTCATCTATGTGTTGAGTGCTGGCAAAGAGGTTCTTTGGTCTTTTGGTTTCCTTTTTGGCTCTTCCTCTCTGTAAACTCTAGTACTGATGATATTACCTAGTTGGGTCGCAGAGCCTTCTCTGTGGGGGCACCTACTATCTGGAACGAGCTCCCCCCGGAGATACGGAGGATCCCGGATCTGCGTACCTTCCGTCGCGCGCTCAAGATCTTCCTATTTCATCAAGCCGGCCTGACCTAAGTCTCTCCCCTTTTTATATGGAAATTTTAAATTTGGTTTTAAAACTATTGGGGTTTTAAATTTGTTCAGCCAAATTATTTAATTTGTTTTAATCTATTTTGAATTTTGTATTTATTTGTTTTATTCCATGGCCGTTCACCGCCCTGAGTCCTTCGGGAGTAGGGCGGTATACAAATTCAATAAATAAATAAAATAAATGTCTGGAGGAAAATAAGCTCAGAGACCACCAAGGACCCCAAAGTTATCCTCCTCCTCCTCTCTCTATAAACCACTCTCCTTCTAGCACCGATGATGTTCCCCCATTAGGTCATGAAAGGTCTCCAAGAAAACCACCAAGCTCTCAGAGCACCAAGGCCCCTCAGTCCTCCTCCTCCTCCTTTCTGCAAACCTCACTCCCTTCTAGCACTGATAATGTTACCTAGTTGGGTCATGAAATATCTGCAAGGAAACCACCAAGCCCATAGAGCACCAAGGATCCCACAGTCCTCCTCCTCCTCCCTCCCTCCCTCTTCCTCTTTTCCTCCCTACTTCCTTCTAGCACTGACGACGTTACCTAGTTGGGCCATGAAAGGTCTCTTCTGTTGGTACAGGTGTGAGTGTTTAGGGGGGACAAAAACGGGGCCCATCTACCTTATGGGAATCTCAGGTGGGCTTCCGGATCACTTGTGGCTGTGTAAGCGTTGCACTCAAAGGGTCTGTTTTGCACGGCAGGCCTGCGGGGGATCCATTCAAAGCAGCGCAAACGCACTCACGGACGACGTCCTCGGACGCTGCGCCGTCTTTGAAGAGGCCCAGATTGGAGGAGACAGGTAAGGGGCGGCCGGCCGGGGGTGGGCGGCTGGGGAGAAGGTGGCTTCAGGGCCTGGAAAATCACTGGACGAGCCCCACTCGCCCAGCACGTCGCTGCTCTCCGTTCTGCAGATCACAATGAATCATACGGGCCTTGTTTGCTGGGCAGGCTGGGGTCTTCTGGAAACCAGACATTGCCAGGGTCCTGGGAATCCGAAACATCTGGAGGTCTCCAGTTGTGTCTCCATCATCCCAGATCACGGATTCCCAATGTTTGGTTCCCAGGAAATGCAAAGAGGAAACATGGCAGCAGTTTGTGGAGTGGCATCAAGCTGGCCGCGCCCACCCAGTTGGCTACGCCCAGTGAGTGGCATCAAGATGGCCACGCCCACCCAGTCGGCCACGCCCACCCCTGAGGTTAGCCACAGAAATTTTGGGCTGAATTGTGGCTGTAAATTGAGGACTGCCTGTACTGAATCTCCCTCTCCCTTGAACGTTAACATGGACCCAGCCTTGATTGCCCTAAAACGGGTCCCCAAACTTGGCAGCTTTAAGACTTGTGGACTTCAACTCCCAGAATTCTCCAGCCAGCTTTGCTGGCTGGAGAATTCTGGGAGTTGAAGTCCACAAGTCTTAAAGCTTGCCAAGTTTGAAGACCTCTACCCTAAAACAATCTTGATTTTTGTCCAGCACTCTTAGACGTAGAATAACGTTATTGTTGCTTTGAATGTATGCACTAATTGGCATACATTAAAAGTGAAATTTCTTTGCACACTGTAGCCGTCCCCTGCGTTCTCTCTCCTACTGGTTTCACATTTTTATTGGGTTAGAAGGTAAAACAAGATAACAAAATACGAAAGCAAATAGGAAAAAGGTGGGGAGGGAGAGGGGGAAGAGAACTGAGGGGAGGGGAAGAGAAAAACAAACATGGACCTCAGACTCACTCTTGTCGCAGTAAAATCACCACTCTTGGCTTTTTCATCATAATATGGACAAGCCATTTCTATAAAGACGTGTCAATCTCCTCGGCAAAACCCAAAATCAAAAGTTTTCATTCTTTTCCCCTTCGAGCACAAAGTTGAGAAGCGGTCTCCATGTGGAAACAAAAGTACTTACATTCTTTAGTCTAAACCAGTGGTTCCCAACCTTTTTTTTTTTGGCCATGCCCCACCTAAGCATCTCTAAAATCCCGATGCCCCCTCCCCTGTGACGTACAATTCTTACTATTCAAAAAGTGACTCCTACTCAGGCCGAGGAAGCCTAAAAGGCCGTTAACTTGGTTTAAACAAGGTTCCAATTGCCCCCATTAAAAATCAAATGTGGGACGTGGCCCCACATTGGGAACCACTGGTCTAAATAGAGCAGGGGTCGGCAACCTTCTTAAACACTCCAAAGAGCCACAAAGGTCCTAACCGGAAGCCCCCCGTTCAATTCTGGAGCCGACTGGAAGTCCGGCTCCCTCACCATAGAATCTCCTCCTAGCGTCCTAACCGGAAGCCCTATCAATTGTGGAGCCGACTGGCGACGGAGCCGCAGCAGAGGGATAAAAGAGCCGCATGCGGCTCCCGAGCCACGGGTTGCCAACCCCTGAAATAGACAATTTTGCCATTTCCGCCCACTCCCATCAACTTCTGCAAACGTTCTTCCACGTTAGGAACCGAAGCGTACTTCCATTTTTGTTGCATTATCTCTTTGAAGCCTCCCTTTTCCATTCCTCGACCAAAAGTCCTTTTCTCTCTCTCTCTCTCTCTCTCGGGCAGGTACAACTTCTTCACAGGTTGCCCCAAGGCCAAAACCTGCACGATCATCCTGCGAGGCGGCGCAGAGCAGTTCATGGAAGAGACGGAACGTTCCCTGCACGATGCCATCATGATCGTTCGACGGGCGATCAAGGTAACGCGCCAGGCGGGTTTTCGGCAGGGTGGGCCCGTTGGGAGGGGGGGGAGAGGGAGGGCCAAGGGACGTTCGAGCTCGTCCTACTGACCACGTGCCAAATTCCAGCCACCCAAAAGAAATTCGTCCCTTTTTTTTTTTGGCTCTCCAGCACGATTCCGTAGTCGCCGGTGGCGGAGCTATAGAAATGGAAATCTCCAAATACCTGCGAGATTATTCCAGAACCATTCCGGGCAAGCAGCAGCTGCTGATCGGAGCGTACGCTAAAGCCCTGGAGATTATTCCACGCCAACTTTGCGACAACGCCGGCTTCGACGCCACCAACATCCTCAACCAGCTCCGAGCCAAACACGCCCAGGTGAGCTTCCTGGAAAGGGGAGGGGCTGTGAGCCTTTTGCAAAAACATATAAAAAAAACAAATCCTTCCGGCGTCTTTAGGTTTCTAACTCCCTGGTTCCTTTAGATCTTCTCGGGTGATCCCGGTCTTGGCCTTTTATTTGGTTTATTTTATTTAAACCTGCTTTTGTGAGGGCCACGGAGAAATTGCTGGAGCTGTAAATGAAGTAAGGTATCAAGTCTAGCAGCCCTTCTCTTCCTGCTTTTCCCAGCCTGGTGCTGTCTTCAAGGGTTGGGCTGGAGAGAAATGTAGCCTAGCAGCAAGTGAGTGGAGGATGTAGTAGGCACAACAGGCATGAATTTAAGGAATCAAATATTGACAGGCTTAAAGGCGAAAATGCACAAGTGCTGCGAGGCTCAGTCTGACTGCTGTTATAGGGAGTCCTCGATTTACAGCCTCCATCCATCCATCCATCCCACATCTATCTTCCGTCCATCATCTGTTTGTCTGTCTATCTCAGGGGCCAGCAACCTTAAAACACTCAAAAGAGCCATTTGGACCCGTTTTGCACAGAAAAGAAAAACACCGGGAGCCACAAAAACCTTTTTGACATCTAAAATGAAGATAATGCTGCATATATCGTTTTTTTTTTTTTTTTAACCTTTATGCTATGTATAAAAAAAACTAGAGTGTGTTGCATTTATGTAATATATGAACTGCTGCAGAGAAAACAAATTTTTATTTCTGCATGCAACAAAAACATTTTGAACTCTGGAAAAAAAAATTGGCCATCCACATCTGTCTGTCTTCTATCTCCATCCATCCATCTCTATGTACCTGTGTATCTTTTCCATCCATTCCTGTCTCTCTCTCTGTCTATCTCATCTATCATCTTTTGTACTGTCTCAGCTAAGTGACACTGGGCAGGTCGCAAACAACATTGTTAACGATGTGTTACGTAAGTTGCTTTTAACAACGGCCAGCCATTCCCACCTTCTGTGCCTCTCCTGGCCTTCTACTCATTCCTCCAGGCCAGCTGGCCGGTCACTATGTCCCAAACCCTATCTCTACCAAAAACACTTGCCTGTATATCCTGCTTGGGTCCGGGGGGAGGGGGGGGCTTGCCTTGCGTACCCCCGACTCCAGAAGCGGCTCTTCCTTGGCCACAGGAGGCGGAAGGCGAGGGCGGTTGGAGGTGCCTGGTGGTCTTGTGGCCCGTACACGGCCTGTGCAGTTAGTAGCTGATTCCGACAGCGAGGAGGCTGGTGTGGTGCTGCGCCAGCAGCCTGTGCAGCTGGCACTCAAGGCAGACAGGAGGCTGGAGAAGATGTGGTGCCAGAGGCGGGGATTCAGCCAGGGCCTTCAGAACCTCCAGAAGCTCCATAAGTGAAGAGGAAGAAGAGGAGGAGCCTCTTCTCGATGCACAGGCGTGCAGAGCTGCCAAAAGGCAGGAGTGGCTCCTCAGGAGGAGGTCTCCTCGAGAGTAAGGCTTGGGGCTGATTGGCCACTCCCTTAGCCTATTTAAGGAGGAATGCCGACTGAAGCAATTTGCAGGGAACAACTTCGTTCACTCTCCTTCGCATCTTGTCTTGCTTATCAGCTTCCTGCAAATTGCTTCTGGGCATTCTGCCAACCATAGTAAGCTTCTTGTTCTTTGAATTCTTGGCGGCAGTTAATGCAGTTAATTAACAGCCGTTGTTGTAAAAGACTGGTTTATTTAGGAAACTAAGGTTTGAACGGACTTTGTGTGTCCTGCGTCCTTTGGGGTCCGTAGCTGGGGCAGAACAGGTGGCTTCAGGTCTCTTTTAACGTCTGTCTGTGTCCTGCAGGGGGGCACCTGGTACGGCGTAGACGTGAACAACGAAGACATCGCCGACAACTTCGCCGCCTGCGTGTGGGAACCGGCCATCGTGCGCATCAACGCCCTGACGGCCGCCTCCGAGGCCGCCTGCCTCATCGTCTCCGTGGACGAAACCATCAAGAACCCCCGCTCCACCGTGGACGCCCCTCCCGTAGGCCGGGGCCGAGGGCGCGGCCGGCCACACAACCACTGAAAGCCAGGCTTATGTCATGGGTGTGAGAGGCGGGGGGGGACGACAATGACAGCCAGCCCCCCCCGCCCCCCCCCCCCCCCCGCCCGTTTTTGTCCCCGAGCCACTTGCCCTTGCCATTTTGCTGAGGTAATTTGCTCCCTTGAAATTCCAGGGAGGATTTTCCTCGGAGCGTCTCTGCCTTCCTCTCCTGGTTTCTAAAGAGCCCCCCACACACACATACCCCCCAAAAAAATCTCAGCAGATTTGACAAATGCTTGGAATATTAGGCGGTTCCCTCTTTAGGTTGTATTTATTGGGGTTTTATGAGCTTTAAAACCACAATCACAATAAATCCTTCCCCTCTCCCGGGTTCTTCCTGTGTTTTGATGCTTCTCGCACTCGCACCCACGAATTTGGCTTACGGCGCTGGGAGGAGTTCTATGAAAAATAAATAACGGGCGGTCCTCGACTTACAACCGTTCGTTTGGAGTTAACGACGGCACTTTTAACTAAAGTGACTTGCGACCGTTTTTCCCGACGACCGTTGCAGCCTTCCTTGTTATCAAAATTCAGACGCTCGGCCGCTGACTCATACTTACGACGGTTGCAGCGTCCCCGGGGTGACGTGCAATCCCCTTTTTTTTGCGACCTTCAGACGAGCAGCGGGGAAGCCGGATTCACTTAACAACCATGTTACTAGCTGAACAACTGCCATGATTCACTTAACCATAGCAAGAAAAGGCCGTAAGATGGGGACAAACGTCACCTAACAGGTGCCTTGGCGATGGAAAATGGGGGTGGGGGGTGCTCCATTGCGGTCGTAAATCGAGGACTATGTAAATGTTAGACTTGGGGGATTCTGGGAGTTGAAGTCTTGGTTTCTGAGATTTCCTGACGTGCTATAAATCCCGCCAGCTAATTCCAACCCGACTCATCATCATCATCATCTTCCATTCTTAGCTGGCAGTGCCCAGTCCGGGCTGGCGCGAAGCCACATCGCTGCAAAGGGAAGCACGAGAGTGGCATTAATGCCAGGCTTTAGAGAAAGCAACAAACTTGGTTTGCAATCCTGGGTTAAAGGGAGGGCGCTTTTAAACCACTCTTAAGAACCGGTCTCTGTTTGGATGGGCGTTGGGGCTTCGAAGATTCAGAGCTCCTCGGCCCAGAGCAAATGTCGCCAAGGGAACAGCCACCCGCTTAATAAATCCTTTTATCTGCCAGATTCCTTCCTTGCTTCTCTCCCTCTTTTTTTTCCCTTCCACCCACTTCTCTGGGGTGCTTTTAACACCTATCGCCCACTTCCTCTCCCACCTGCCTCCCGTGCACACCTGGGCCCCCAATCCCTCTCCCAAAAGCTGCTCCTTCCTCCCAAGGTGACATGGAGTTCAGCCTCGAGACACAAACCGGCACACGCACGGCCACCTCCAGAACTCGCAAGCTCCTAAACTACCCCCCAACCAGCAACCAGCGCCAGATGTTTGCCGAGGAACTGCGGTTTGGCAACCTGTGTCTTTGGCAACCCAGGCAGGTAAACAGTTGACCCAACAAAGAGGATTTAGGAGACCGGAGGCTAAAACAGGAACGGCTACAGGAGTTGGGTGTGTCCAACTTAACAAGGACGATTAGGGGAGAAGTGACAGCAAGTACCAAGAGCCTTGGTAGTACAGTGGTTTAAGGCACCCTGTTATTAAGCTGGTTATTAAGACCAGCTGCCTGCAATTACTGCAGGTTCGAATCTCTCCAAGGCTCAAGGTTGACTCAGCCTTCCATCCTTTCTAAGGTGGGTAAATTGAGGATCCGGATTGTGGGGGCAATAAATGACTTTGTATAAATATACAAAAGGATGAAGGCTATTGCTTAACGCCTTGTAAGCTGCCCCGAGTCTCCGGAAAAGGGCGGCATATAAATCAATTTTTTTTTTAAAAAAGTCTTCCAGTATTTGAGGGGCTGCCCCAAAGAAGAGGGTGGGGGGGTTCCACCTATTCTCCAAAGCACCTGAAGGCAGGAGAAGAAGCAACGGATGGAAACTGAGCAAGGAGTGAAACAACCTGGAACTAAGGAAGAATTTCATGACTGTGAGCGGAACAATTGGCCAGCGGAACAGCTTGCCACCAGAAGTTGTAGATGCTTCATCGCTGGAGGTTTTTAAGAAGAGACTGGACAGCCTTTTGTCTGAAATGATAGAGGGTTGGACTAGAAGGCCTCTAAGGTGCCTTCTGTTGGAAACATTCTTCTAAGGCAGGAGTGTCCAACCTTTTAAAGACTTGTGGACTTCAACTCCCAGGATTCCCCAGCCAGCCACGCTGAATTCTGGGAGTTGAAGTCCACAAGTCTTTAAAAGTGGTCCAGATTGGACATCTCTGATCCAAAGACCTTAAGTCTTTGGGGACTAAGGTCAACTTGAAGGGGATCATTTACACACACACACAAACACACAATCACATCCCTTCCAAAGAAGCCAACAAAGCCACACCTTGTTTGAAGAATTCTTTATTCAACACTGAATCATAAAATAGCTCTTATTCGTCGGTTGTGTTGTGTTGTGTTTTGCGTTTTTTTTTTTCTTCACTTCCTTTTGTGTCTTAAATTTTTTAAATACGCATGGTTTACATTCGGCAAAGTTCAAAGAGCAACAACATCAAAGTGCATTTTACAGACAAAAATTCTGCCCCCCACCACCCCGGCGTGTTTTTTTTGTTGTTTTTTTTTTAAAAAAAAACTATGGTCTCCCGATGGATCCCCCTCCTCTTCTCCCTCCCGAGAGGGTCGCCAGGAAATGGGATGAAATGGAGGCGTTGGTTGCTTCCTTTCAACAGGTGGGGGGGAAAATCGGAGACCCCCCCCGTCTGCCTCTTCACCTCGTCCTTTGCCAATAATGCACCTCTGGAAACCAGCTGCTCCCCAACCGGGCACCGTCCAGATGTTGGGGGATTCTGGGAGCGAGCCCAGCACATCTGGAAGGGGCCAGGTTGGATTAGACCGGCCTTAAAGAGAGGGGGGTGGAAAAAAAGCCCACCTACTCAAATCTACAAGCGCGAAGATCTTCCTTCTGATCTTCGCAGGTTCATTTCCTTTCTCCCCTTCCCCAAAAATGGTTCTCACAACCCAGATCTTCCCTCCGAGCAAAGGCTGCACCCAGGTGTGAGTTTGGCACACAAAACGATTTGTCAACATTTTCTTTGGAGTCTTAAAACCGTCCCGAGTCGCTTCACGACGAACCGGGCAAGAGATATTGAGAGCGATTATAATACAGGTAAAGTCCTCGACTTAACGACCGCCGTTGAGGCCACAGTTTCTGTGCCTACGTGAGACGCTTGTTTCGGGGAGTTTCGCCACCCCCCCTTCTGCGACCTTCCTTGCCGCCCTTCTTAAAATGAGTCGCCGCTGTTAAAAAGTTAAATCACACGGGCGTTAAGCAAATCTGGCCTTCCCCCTTTTGAGTTTGCTCATCAGGAGGTCGCAAAGGGGAATGGCGTGATTTCCCCTACCGCCCCGCCCGGGACGCTGCGACCGTCATAAGTACGAGTCGGTTGTCGAGCATCTTGAATTTTGGTTACGTGACCATGGGGGAAGGCTGCAACAGTCGTGAGTGTGAAAAACGGTCCTAAATCCCATTTTTCGGAGTAACTTGGAGCGGTCACTAAGTGAAGCGGTCGTAAGTCGAGGATTCCCTGTAAATGAAATGAATAAGAAATGAAATAAATAATGCAGGCACCTGCTCTACGCGGAGGGATCTGAAATGGCAATTTTTTTTCTCTTTATCACCTAAAATTCCTCCCCTGAATAACGGCAACAGCAAAAGCAAATCTCCATCAAGGAGTAACAGACATGATATTTAGGGGTGCGAACCTGTTTGCTTTTGGGGGTTCAGTCAGGGCAAGGAGCTTTCCAAAGAGCAGGCAGTTTGTGGGAGAAGAGAGAGGCACCAAAAACATCCAACTGCAGGGAAGGGCAGGCATTTCCTGATCATTATGGATGGCTGGCAAATCGATTTAATACATAAATATACCAAATCTATAAATTAAATAAACGTAGCAAAGAAATAAAGGTAATACATAGAAAAAAATAAGTGAATTTAATAGGTAAGCAAGCACAGCAAAGAAGGAAAACTTAAAACGCATAGGGAAAATAAAAACATAAATTTAATAAATGTTAACAAATATGGCAAATGAAGAAACGTAATAATTTATAAATGCAGCAAATACAAAAATGGAATCAATAGGTAAAATAAATAAATGTAATAAATAGAACAAATGCATTAAATATGGCCAACAAATGTAATCAATATGAAAAATAAATGCAATCAATATGAAAAATAAATGAAATAAATTAAAAATAAATAAACAAATATAATCAATATGAAAAAGAAATGTAATCAATATGAAAAATGTAATAAATGAAAAATAAAGAAATGTAATCAATATGAAAAATAAATGTAATCAATATGAAAAATAAAGAAATGTAATCAATATGAAAAATAAAGAAATGTAATCAATATGAAAAATAAAGAAATGTAAACAATATGAAAAATAAACAAATGTAATAAATGAAAAATAAATAAATAATCAATACGAAAAATAAATAAACAAATGTAATATGAAAAATAAATAGAATGGGGAAATAAATTTAATAAATACAGCAAATAAATAAATTTAATAAATATAACAAATCAATTTAATAAATATAGCAATAAGTAAATGTAATAAATAAATAAATAAAACAAATATATAAAGGAAAAGAAAAAATGCATTCCAAGCACTTTCTTGTAACACAGCTTGGTATTTCTCGGCAACTTTTAAGAGTTCTGGCTGGGGAATTCTGGGAGTTGAAGTCCAGAGCTCTTAAGAGTTGCTCGAGAAACCCTGAAGAGTTAGTAAAAACAGAACTGGATCCTGCATCACAGGTGTTTGGGCATCGTAGGCCTTACCTGCCTTTTCTCTTAACTGGGATTTCAAATTGGCTCATCACGACGGAGGAGGAAAAAATTATTTATTTATTTAGCTTATTCAACTTGCCACCGGTTGCGCTGCCAAATATAATTTTTAAAGTGTCTCGGGCAATGTGTTAAGCCGGCTCGGTAAACACCGTCTCTTTTGCAAT